ATTGGAAAACTGATATAAAGATATTATACTTTACTTACTTCATTACACCTCATCCCCCCAAATAAGAATGAAAATATATTCTAAAGAGGCATTTTCATTTCTAACCTAAAAGTTATTCTTAACACTATTTCTATGCTACATTAGCAGTAACAATATATGTACATTAAGCACACAATAAGTTTCTTAACCCTATTTTACATAAGTCCATTTGATTCATAACATTCAAATTTTTTCACATGCTCTTGACCAACTGCTACAATTTGCTACAATATTGTACTTTTTAGATAAATGAATGATTTTTAAATGATACAGCTGGAGTATTAAACTTTAGTAAAACAACCCTAAGTTCTTGTACAAAATTAAACAGATTACAGTCTCTTTAAATATTAGTTTCTTCTGAGTTGTTGAATTTGAAAATTGATGTGGAGCCAACATAGACACAATGTCTTTTTCCACTGTTGAATGTTTCTTTTGACATGGAATCAGGTTCTTTGAAAAAATAACTGGCAAGCCATTCAATTCCCATTTCATCATGTTGTAGTAAAAAATCACTCACATTGAGGTTCAATTTTATCAACAGCCTGTTTGAATGGATTCTCATAATTCGGTGCTGTTGTCAGAACAGGTTTCAAGTTGTCAGACGTCCTCAAATTTTCTGTTGTTCATTCAGAATTTGTATCTTTTCTCAATTAATGTGTCAAAGGAGCCACCACAGCAAAGAAGTTAAAAATTAGAATAAAATCCCTTTATACTGATATATTGCAGAACTTCACATTTCATCTTAGGCAAGGGAAAATCCAAAGTGTTCCATAATTTCAGTTCTCTAGGTGTTACTTGACTATGACCCACAGTGTGACTCAAATAAGTCACTTTTGCTTTCACAAATGCACTTCCATCCAGATTTATACCAAATTGGCTCTTTGTAATCCATAAAATGGTTTAGTCAAGTGGTATAAATGCTCTTCCCAGATTACCAAGTTGTCACTGTAGACAACACAATTTTCTAGTCCTTCAGTTACATTGTTGGTTTTGAAAATCACCAGATTTCATTCTGAGACCTGTCTTGACCAGTAGTAACATCAGCTAGGATCATAACAAGCACAGACCATTGATCAGGATTCAAATTATTTGAGTTTAAGAAGGATCTGTGTCTGTTTTAAAGAAATGGGTACATGCCCTGGACATAAAACCGGAGCACTATATTTAAGTTTATTGCATAGTTTGGGTTTTCAAAATGGCCTTAAATAGAGTCATGGAGTTATACAGCACAGAAACAGACCCTTCAGTCCAACTCGCCCATACTGACCAGATATCATAAACTGATCTTGTCGTCATTTACCAGCAATTGGCCCATATCCCTTTAAACACTTCCTATTCGTGAACCCTTCCACATGCCTTTTAAGTGTTGTAATTATACCAGCCTCCACCATTTCTTCTGGCAGCTTGTCCCATACATGCACCACCCTCTGCACGAAAAAGTTACCCCTCAGGTCCTTTTTAAATCTTTCCCCTCTCACCTTAAAACTATGCCTTCTAGTTTGGACTCTCCTACCCTTGGAAAAAGACCTTGGCTATTCACTCTGTCCATGCCCCTCATGATTTTATAAGCCTCTATATGGTCATCCCTCAGCCGCTGACACTCCAGGGAAAACAACCTATTCAGCCTCTCGCTATAGCTCAAACTCTCCAACCCTGGCAACATCGTTGTAAATATTCTAGAAGACATATAGTAGACTATTTGAAATATTTAATTCATGCTAAACTGAGACAGTCAGCTGATAAGTTGAAGGTAGAAATAAAAGAAGGATCTTATAAGAATTAGTTACTTAAAGTTATTACCCAATATTAGAGAACTAGAAAAAGGGAAACTGAAATTGAGATATCACATCTGGAACTAGGTAAGATGTGGCTAGAAACAAAAACTAAAAAAAACAACGTAGAAGCAGAAGGGGAAATGAAAACAATTTGAATTAGAGAGAAAGGAGAGAGGAAGAGAAATGGAAAGATTTGTCTTGGACAAAGAGAAACAAAGAAACTTGAATTGGAAGAAAAAGAGAATAAAAGGGAAGGGAATGCAAAAAAAAGGAAAGGGAAATAGAATTTTAAAAAAGCTTGAAATCCAAAAAGATGGAAAAATTAGCCAATATGACTTGGCCAGAGAAAAGCTGAGAGTAAAGAAAAGAAAAAGAGGCAATAACTTAGAGAATAGTCCTGATTCCTACGTGAGATTTGTGCAAGTTATAAGTCTTTGCTTAGTGTCTAAATTTACCGAAGATGGAGTCGAAAGAAAAAATAGCTGGGAAGACAAATTGGCCAAAGGATGTTCAGATTTAATGTTTCAGAGTATTTTGACACTGTACAGCTATGAAATTATTTCACAAAGTAATCCCTTTGCTGAGGTAACTTGTTTCATGATCCGCCTTCAATCTTTCTGCAAAAAAGACTGAACTCATTTCTAAATTCCACACCAGTACTCCTAAACCTACCGTGGCTGTAGCCACCTGCTCTCTAACAAAATGTTATATTTAAAATGTTGTTCCAGATTGACTCTCTAACCTTGTCCTTCTTTCTTGAAAGAAAACTCTTCACAGAAGTCATCAGCACCTACCTGCTACTATTTTGAAATCCAAATTTCAAAATGATACTTGTGTTTCATCCCTTTTGTCACAGTTGGAAAACTGGTAGAAATGACTTTTGCCTCAATTTGCTGTCCATAAAAACACTTTCCCTGACTTAATAATACAGGTATCCCAAAAAAAATTGAATTTCAACACTAATAAACCTAACAATTAGACAAAGCATAGAGACTGCATTAAATAATAATAATGAAACCATCTAATATTTTGCCATAGCTTAACTTATCATCATCAAGCTTCGAACAGTTCTATTCAGCTGGCTTTTGCATCTGTGATTATTTCACACAAAGCTTATAGTTACTAATAAATCAATTCTACTTCTAGGGAAGCGTGATGGCAAAATGGAAGGAAGAATTCAAGAGGCATTCTCGCGTTAAATGCCCTCGCTCTGGTTGCTGGCTGGAATTTCCTAGTATTTATGGATTGAAGTACCATTACCAGCGTTGTCAGAGCGTAAGAACTACTTTCTTATGGTAGATAATTTGTATAAAATAAATTTACTCTGTGTTTAAACAATAATGAATCAGAAATGTACTGCCTTGAATTGATTTGATTTGATATATTGTTGTCACATGTTCCGAGATACAGTGAAATACATTGTTTTGAGTGCCAACCAGACAAATCATACCTTACATAAATATATCAGGATAATAGAACAGAATGCAGAATATAGTGTTACAGCTAGAGGGAAGGTGCAGAGAAAGGTCAACTTTAATATATGAGATGTCCCTTTTTAAGTCTGATAACAGCAGAGAAGAAGCTGTTCTTAAATCTGTTGATTTGTGTTTTCAAACTTTTGTAACTTCTGCCTGATGGAAGAGGGTGGAAGAGAGTGTAACTGAGTTGGGAGAGGTTATGGACTTGCTGAATTTTCTTAGCCTTCTGAGGAAGTAGAGGCATTGGTGTGCTTTCTTGACTGTAGCTTCGATGTGGATGGACCAGGACAGATTGTTGGTGATGTTTATTGCCAGGAACTTGAAACTCTTGACCATCTCCACCTCAGCACCATTGATACAGCCAAGGGCGTGCCCTCCATTCCGCTTCCCGAAGTCAATGACCAGCTCCTTCATTTTGCTCACATTGAGGGAGAGATTGTTATCTGTACTCCATGCCACTAAGCTGTCTATGTCTTTCCTGTTCTCTGTCTCGCTGTTTGAGATCTGAGATCTGATCTACCATGATGGTGTCATCAGCAAATTTGTAAATGGAATTAGAGCTGAATTTGGCAACACAGTTGTGAATGTACAAGGAGTATAGTAAGGGCCTGAGTATGCAGCCTTGCAGAGTACCAGTGTTGAGGATCACTGTGGAGGCGGTCTTGTCGCTTATTCTTATCGATTGCGGTCTGCAAGTCAGGAAGTCGAGGATCCAATTACAGAGGGGGGAGCAGAGTCCTGGATCTTGGAGTTTGGAAATTAATTTTGTTGGAATTTTGGTGTTGCAGGAGGAGCTAAAGTCAATAAAGAGGAGTCTGATATAGGTGTCTCTGTTATCCAGATGTTCCAAGGATGAGTGTAGAGCTAGGGAGATGGCATCTGCTTGGACCTATTGCGACAGTAGGCAAATTGTAGTGGATCAAGGCAATCTGGGAGGCTGGAGTTGATGTGTGCTGTTACTAACCTCTCGAAGCACTTCATTATGATGGATGTCAGAGCCACCAGGTGGTAGTAAATAAGGCACATTGCCTGATTTTTCTTTGGCACTGGGAGGATATGGTCTTCTTGAAGCAGGTGGGAACCTAACATCATGGTAAGAAGAGTTTAAAGATGTCTGCAGATACTCCCACCACCTGGTCCACTCAGGATCTGAGTGCATGGCTGGGGACGAGTGCATGGCTGGGGATTCATCCTCAAGAAGGCCACTCTTGCATCTGCAGTGGTGACTGTGGGTGGAGGTGCACTGAGGCTGTTGGGGCAAGTGAGATCATTTCACTGACTTGCTGTTTGAAACCAGCATAGAATGTATAGAGCTCATCAGGGAGGGATGCATTATTGTCAGTGATCCTACACGACTTTGTTTTGTAGCCTGGTAAATCATGTAAGACTTGCCATAGTCGGTGTGTGTCGTGTGGTTAGTCTGGGACTCTAGTTTAATCTCGTATTGTTTCTTGGCCACCCTGATAGCTTTGCAAAGTTCGTACCTAGATTTCCTGTATAGGTCAGGGTCACCCGCCTTGAACGCTTCAGAACTGGACTTTAGTAGGGAGTGGATATTCCAGTTCATCCATGGTTGGATGTATATAAATTGTATATTGTATGTATTGAATTGTATATAGGTTGGATTGTAGAAGGTGCAGAACTAAGACACAGCAACCATCAAATTTTCATACTTGAGTTATGATAATCTCAGTCTTGCATTAATGCATTGATGTCATATTCCTTTCATTTCTATTTTGAGGAAGCCATTAGAAAATTTATTTTAAATGGGAAATTTATTTTAAAAACAGGTAACACTTGCATTTAATACACACACACACACACACACACACACAGAATTGTTGTATAATTACATTGGCTGCTTTATGTAATCAGCATATTTTGTTTTTATTCCTCCTGCCTGTGCTTTCTGAATACCAATGTTTACTCCGGTGCAAATTTCTAGGGAATCTGTAGTTAGGGCAAAGAGAAAGAATATTCTCACCTGGTTCCCCAGTGTTGTGTGGCCCTGGAGAAATAAGGGCTCATGTGGGTGCAGAGTGTGAATAGTAATTGACCTCATTAATGTTGACCAAAGCCTTGTTTCTTGATTGTTGCCAAGAGGAATTTGAGTTCAGTTCAATCAACTGCCTTTTCTTCATCAGGGAATGTGTTGATAATACATGAAGAAACACTTTGTGTTTGCCTCAAGGCAGTGCCATAAAACATCTGTTTAATGAGCATGGACTGGCCCAGAAATGACTTTTTCTTGTCTGCAGGCTAAAGTTTTAGTAGCAATTTATTGTGAACAAACAGTGAGAAGGGATGTAGGTCTGTATTACGAGTTCTGAGTGTAGTACTTAATTTTCATACATAGCAATGCCATTGACTTAGAAGTTAACAGGAGCAGGTTATGCAGGCAGTTTTTTTTGGGTGCATGTGTGCGGAGAGGTGGGTGAAATTTCAGACAGAAACTTTCTGTGCCACCTTTTCCTTAAAAGCTTCCCTGCCCGAAATTCAGCCTGACTGTGGTGAATCCGGTGGGACTAGTTCAGCCCGAAGCATCACCAAATCGTCAGGAGGATTGTTCATCTTGAGGTAGGAGGAGTGGGTCTGGACCTCAGTGCTGTTGGGGAAGTGGAGTGTCTGAACATGGTGTTTATAGGAGGGGCAGGGGAATTTAAGGTGGGTGGTCTAATTCACTACCTCAAGATGGGTATCTGATCCTCAGTGGGGGCATTGAGTCTTACCAAAATGAGAGAGGGACTAATCCTGTTGTGGTGATCAAATCCCTGATCCAGGAGAGACATATATCATATAAGGAGTTGTAGAAGTTTGGTCTGAGAAGGCTTCAGGAAGATTCCTTGTCTGGTATAGGAGACTGACAAAGATGGGATAATCGAAAGAATTCCATTCCAAGCCCACATGAAGTGCTTAAAGACAATTATCTTCTTCTCAAACCTTTCTCCATCTCTCATTTTCAGCTGTTGGATTTCCTGAGGTCTCGGGAGCTTGCTGGGCTCTTGTTATGCATATAAAACAAGCTAAATCAAAGATTGCCAGCCCAACTCAAATACTTAAATTGCCAGTCTGCCTCCTAGGAATGAATTGGCTACCTGCTCTTTGTGCTGCTTCTGTTAAACCCTGAGAGGAAGTGTGATGGTGGTGTTAGACCAGTTTGGGATCTGGTTTGAGTATTTTTTAAAATTTAATACAGTCCTAACCCCAACCCATCTGATTTTGTTGATACTCCAGCCCATTCTGGCTGCTGTGGTAGTATTTATGTAGTTCTCCAACCCAGAAAGTAGGACCTTGTAGAACTAAGCAGGATAGCCATCTGGCCAGGATGCTTTTTCTGAATAGAAGCTTTTTACTGCTCATTAACTGAACTCAAGGAAATGTTTATAGAGATGGGGAAACAGAAGATTGTGAAGTATTGTCCATTGCTTTTGTGGCATGGCATGATTGCACCACGTTAAACTTCTCTGATAAGAATATTGCACAGAAGCTGTTACTTTTTGTTTTCTGCCTACAGTCACTCACCTGGGCTGCTTGTGCATGTTGGGCTTTGCTGCAATCCGACCAGCAAGACCTGACTGTTCCCATTTACTTACACCAATCAGGGCAGCATGAACTGATGAATCTCTATTCTCCTGAAAACAGAAGGCTCAGGACTGATGTAATGGAGATCTTTAAAGTTATGAAGGGTTTTAATAAAATAAAGACAGAGAGTGATTTCCGCTTGAGTGAAAGAACAGAACTAGAAGCAATCAATGAAAGATAATCAGTAAGAAGTCCAATTGAAAATTCAGAGAAACTTATTTATGTAAAGATAAATAAGAAGGTGGAAGTTTCTGCCACAGGAAATGGTTGCAGTGAATGGCATTGATGCATTCAAGGGAAGAGCTAAATAAACAAATGAGGGAAAAGGGAATAGAGATGGAAGCTTGTAGATGGAAAAAATGTTTGAGTGGAGCATAAACATTGATCTGGACTGGTTGGACCAAATGGCTTATTTCTGTGCTATATATTTTATGTCTTTCTTTGTACTGTGCCTGAAATGAATGAATGAGAATCCAATCTGGAGCTCCTTTCAAGATATTCTAAATAAAGCAAAGAAACTTTCAAATCCTGACAGAATGAAAAGCCATGCCTTTTTATCTTTGAACTCTCATGTTGATATACAGATTGAACACTAAAATATTCTGTAATCTGCATATATCCGGAATAAGGAGATGTAAGTGTTAGTTGTTGAATGATGAAAAGTATCCAGGCAGAGCTGAGATTTTTGAAACTGGCAAGAGGCCTTCATGTCAAACTTTAACTAAAATATGAAAATACATCAGAAGGCCAAGGAATAGAGGGGTATGGATCATCGGCAGGCATGAGTTTAGAATGGCATCATGGTCAGCACAGGCATAGTGGGCTGAAAGGCCTGTTACTGTGCTGTACTTTCCTTTGTTCCGTGTTCTGTATATGTAGTCATATTGTTGCAAACTACAGAGTTAAAAAATAAAACCACCATAATAAATGGATTCAAGGAGAAAATAGATAACCACTGAGCAGATGGTTGCTTGGATGAGGTGAAAAGGGAGCAAAAATGTGTTATAAACTGGTTGGGCTAGATGGCTTAGTTCTGTACTGTCCAATCTCTGTAATTCTGTCTTGATGTGCAAAGCAGTGGTGCTGTACCTCTGTATTATAATTTTACACATGCAATAAATTGGGCTTAATTTAAACTGACAATTAAACAATACAGATATACTTCCTGCTCAGATCACCTAAGTGAAATACAAGTGAGGACTCCTGAACCTAAATTGTCAACAATTCTGAAGTATTAACAATTCCACCCGCATCTGTGCCCTGTAACTTCCCGAAACAGCACATTCTGCCTGCACAGACTTGGATTTGCTTCTGAAGGAGTCAGATTGTTGGCAGATTTTTGAGTCCCTGTTTCCCTAATTAGAGTCATGAGCAGTTATGACATCCCTTTAGGCATACTCCTATCTGACGCTGTCATGGATGAGAAAAATGAGCAGCACCTGATGAAGCAAAGAACAGCCAGGTTCATTTTAGCCAGATGTAAACAATCAGCCAAGCTGTAGTGTAGGCGTGTATTTACCAGATGACTGATGCACCGCAAAAAAGCTGGGGAATCCATTACCTTCAGAATTGCAGCAAGGTATGACAATCTAGTTTATAGGCCTGCTCAAAGTCCACGGTCTGATTGTTGGTAGCTATCTTACTTTGCATACTCCCATAAAACATCCCCTCAACTTTTAGTCTCTCAATGCATAGATAATACTACAGAGGAGATCCTACAGGCTTGATCAAACACGGCACTTATGTACGACAGAAACTGGAAGCAATCCATCCAGTCCTTGGGCATGACAGCTGAGTAATTTTAACTCACAGCCTCATTTTAAATTAAACCTCACAGTCTCCCAGTAAATCCAGCAGGCCCAACGTACAGTCTAGCTGGCAGTGTGGGAAACCAGTCAGCTGCAGAAATGGTCTTGGCAGAGTAAATAATTCTGGGGAGGTGGATGGGGTAATTGGATGATCCTGGAGCATCTAGCTTTCTTTATCAGAGCTACAAGGAACCATGCCAAAATTAAACAAGAAACACTAATGTGGGCCTCTGCTGACCTGATCCTGTTTGGCAGTAGCTTTGTTGGTATTTCTAAAATTGCATAAATCATGTTTGTTCACATTGTAATTATGTCATGTCTCATACATCAATAATATTTATTAGACTACTGCCAGCCTGCCGTGGAAGGCCTTTAAACTCCTGAAGGCCTAAGAGTTAAAACTGCAGAAAGTGAGATTTTACCTGGCTGAAACTGTGCTAACCTTACCCAGATCATTTGCATTAGGTTGGTAAGACTAAAATAGTACTTTATACATCGGTACCAAATACGCTGGAGGCTATTATAGTGCATTCCCCTGACTGTGCACTTAAGGGCATGTGCGAAAGGTCGAATAAGTGTTCCAGATTTTGGAAGGGCTCACACCTCTTGTACACTTGCCTGACGCTTAGCATGAGCTTGTCCGGGATAATTTCTACCAAGCCTAAATCTGATCCAGTCAGCACCCTCTACAGGAGATCTGTGGTGTCCACGAGCAGAAAAAGCAGCAGGGAGGTTCTTCAGCTATTCAGAGTCATAGCCAATTCACCTAACCTGTGCATCGTTGGACCGTGGGAGGAAACCAAAGCACCTGGTGGAGATCCATGCAGACATGGGAGAATGTGCAAACTCCACACAGACAGTCGCCTGAGGGTGAAATTGAACCCAGCTCCCTGGCGCTGTGAGGTGGCAGTGCTAACCACTAAGCCACTGTGCTGCCCTAATGTTAACTTCTATCATCTGATTGTTATACCCAAGACCTTTCTTCAACTTGATTGAAATAGTTTCGAAAAAGAAAGAAGCATTGACTGAAAATGGTTACAGCGCACCTGACCACACACTATGGCAAATTCCCAAGACACATATGTGAAATAAATGAAGACATCTGCCATTGAAATTTCTATTTGTATATAAACACCTTAAGGTCAGGCAATGACAGCACCAAAACATTTGCATCTCCTGTTTAACTCACACCTGTATGATAATTTCACACATTGAGAGATGAAAGGCTCACCTACCAATTAGCCAGCTGAAAAGACAATGGAGGTAGACTCTGAAATACATACCGAACTTTATTTCCACAGCTGTTTTTGAGCAGCCAAGCAGAGCAATAGAAAATGAATTTGTGACCAGAAGAACTGGAACTCTATCTTTTCCTGTCCTGTTTCTCTCATCATCTTGGAATACAGCACCCAAAAAAATTGGGAAAACAACCTTCACCAAGATCTTAAAGTTGTCCACAGATTCCGCTACCATTGAGGGTACAAGTCAACCACTAAACTACTCTCATCTCCGGTTAATAATCTAACACCTAAAGCACTATAAGGACTATTTAACTATGCAACCTTTATTTTCCCTACCTATGCCAGATACCCTCTCTTTTAAAACTTTACCTATGCGTATGATGTTTTGTTGCTGTTTCTTTATTGGGGTTACTAGACACAAAAATTTCTCTTTCTTTCACTCAAGAAAATATTTGGTGATTGGCTCCTTTATTTTCTGGTGATCCACATTTTTATTGAAATTGGATATCTGCCTGCTGAAAGGAAAATAAAATCTAAAATGGTTTATCTTGACTGACGCAGGGGGTTTAAAAAAAAGGGAGTTGGTTTTCCCTCCTCAGCTGGTCATAACACTAGGTTCACACTGTTGTAGTGATTTCAGTACCAAGTCTATCAGTAAATACTACAACAGCACACCCTGTGGATGTACAGGGTATCTTTGGCAGAAACCTCTGCATTTCCACATTTATTTTGTTTTGTGTGATGAATGCCAGAAGTTATTATCCAACATACCCTGTAGTATTACCCAAGTAGTATTAGCCTTGGTGTTCCTATAATAGAAAAATGTAAGCCTGTATCCAATTAGGATCATAAGAGGTTTCTATTATTACATTCCTGGGTAACAGTATCATAGATTGGATAGACAGTACTGGCATATTCTACCTGTTTAACGGTCCAACCTACATATTTATACAGGTTTGGGCTGAAACTTGTAGAGGCGATGGGTGTTTTGCCTACCTGCCAGAGGCCTATGCTTGGGGAAGACCTGCTGAACTACAAGCCAGTCAGCAGTGAAGAGACCATTGGTGGACCTTTTCCAGGATCAGGACCACTGTGGCAGGAAATTCCACTCACCAAGAGCTGCTGAACAATCAAAGGCCAGCAGCTCTTTGTCACTTGGGAGAGATGACAGCTGCTGCCAGGGTGACAGCCAACGGAGGCCCAGGATGGTGGAGCGCCCAGGCCAGGGGATGTTTACAGGAGGGATTTGTAGGTTATTGGGCTGAAGGGTGTTCTTCTGCACTGTACCAATTCTGTAACTTTGGCTAGGAATGTGTAAGAAGGTCAGCATCAAAGATAGAGGCTGGTGCTAAATATCTCCCCTGTTCATGACGCTGGATCCCTTATCAGGCACTGAGTGTTTTTGAGCAAGTGGCCCACCATCTCCCCACCCCACTCCCCATCATCTGCCACCCTCCACCCAGAATCCTTTCTAGATTTGCTTGTCATGCTACTGCACATTTAATATGAGTGGCAGCAGGATGAGGCCCTTAGTGGTAATTAATTACCTGCTTAAGGACCTCAATTGACAGTGAGATTGGAAGCAAACATGGACCTTTCCACCCCAGAATTAATTTTGCTGCAGGCAGAAGGGTAGCAGGATGCTTCCCCAGCATCCTTTCGGCTGATTATATTCCTGTATACCTCCAAGCACACCAATTTTAATTTTCCCTTTATTCATTCACGGGATGAGGGTGTTGCTGGCGAGCCAGCATTTATTGCCCATCTCTAATTGCCCAGAGAGCAGTTAGGAGTCAACTACATTGCTGTGGGTCTCGAGTCACACGTAGGCCAGACCGTGTAAGGATGGCAGTTCCCTTGCCGAAAGGGCACTAGTGAACCAGATGGATTTCCTCTGACAATCGGCAATGGATTCACGGTCATCATTAGATTTTTAATTCCAGATATTTATTGAATTCAAATTCCACCATCTGCCATGGTGGGATTCAAACCTGGGTCCCCAGAACATTATCTGGGTCTCTGGATTAACAGTTCAGCGATAATACCACTAGGCCATTGCCTCCACTTGTCACAAAAGAGACAACTGGACATCCAACTCAGTGTGGTTGGATTGTGTTGTGGTTCTTGAGTATTTAAAAATGAATGAACCATAACAGCTTCCTTGGCTCTAAGCAATCACATGCTTGATAGCATACAGATTATTGCCTGCAAATTGGAGCTTAAGGGTGAAACTGGTTCTCTGTGCCCACAGTTTGCTAGATTCTGGAAGAGTGCATGTGTGAAGTTTAGTGTCTTGTCAATTAACCATCTGCATCTGCAGAATGCTGTCAGTCATTAAAGTTACAGCAGCTTTGTCTGCTATTCCTGAAGTGATCCTATGGCAAGTAAACTACTATTATTTTCACTGGCAAAAGCTAACCTAGAAAGATTCAGTTTTTAAGTTGTTAACCATAATTTTATTTCATGTAAGTAAATTTGAAAGGAACATTTTTTTGTATTGTTGAAATGGTTGGGAGAATTCAAAAGCATAGTATTAATGTATATACATAGATATTTGCACAACTATTCAGTATTTTATGCTCTTGTTTGGTACCATTTGCGTTTATAATAATGTAACTGCTATATTTTAGAAATATTCCCATTGGTAGTGATGTGTTTGTTAAGTATTTATAATACCCACAGAACTCATAACAAGACTGTTTTACTGTAGGGTGTTGTTTCAAAGAAGTGTAGTCACCAGTGTCTTCTATGTGAAGCTTCTTTTACATCTAAGTCCCAACTGGAAAAGCATAAGCAATGGACACATGAAGAAAAAAGAACACAAGCAACAGAGGTGGATGAGAAAGTTACAAAATCAATTGGTCGAGGTAGAGGTAGAAAAAGGTATGTTTGTTTTGAAGAGAATTTTGTATTACACTAATTGTCTTTCATAGAGTTTCAAGTTGTTTAGAAATTGGATTTTTTGTTTAATATTTTTCTTGCTTTAATATTTTCATGCATAATGTAATTGTGGACTAATCACCCAGAATGCTTACCATAAATTTAAGGGGCACTACATATTGTGAAATCCATTTAATGTTAAGTGATTAATAATGTATGATCCCAATTACAACTTTTGTCTTGAATCTCTGTTTAAATTGCTCTTTTAATTTTATATTTAAGTAGAATCATAGAATCCCTACAGTGTGGAAAGAGGCCATTCAGGTCATCTATTCTGCACTGTCTGAAGAACATAACACGTAGACCCAGCCCCCTACCCTACCTTCATAATCCCGGATTTTACCATGGCTATAGACGATTTAGCCTGGCCAGTCACCTAACCTGCACATCTTTGGACTGTGGGAGGTAACTGGAGCACCCAGTGGAAACACATGCTGACATGGGGAGAATGTACAAATTCCACACAGCCAGTCACCCAAAGCTGGAATCAAACCTGGATCCCTGGCTTTGTCAGGCAGCACTGAGCCAACGTGCTGCCCATTAGAAATAGCACTGTTTCTGTTTCATGTATTTCACAAAAATATACTTGACTTATTATTGTGATACTGTTACATATATTGTATTAAAATAGTTGGAATATAACATTCCATTTCAACATACACTGAAACATCTAACACTGCAAAACTTAGAATAAAACTGTAAGCAGTTAATTGAAGTACTGATTATGGAACTATTCAGTGCTAAATGTTACATAATGTCAATAGCTAAAACAATGATTAATGTGTAAAACAGGAGATATAGGGTCAATGTCTGCTGAAGTTAAAGTAACATTGCATTGGATATATAATAAGTGGTTGATTGATATTGGCAGTTTTAAACCTTCATCTAAATTTAAAGTTACCCCAGAGTACCTTCATAATGTATTGAAAGCTAAGATCAACAAAGTTGAATCTGTACATGACTGGTGCTTCTGACCATAGAGTGTCAAATAGAGCATTCTTAAATGTTTGAGCCCTGGAAGTCTAAAACAGCAACCATGTCGATAAAGGTAATAAAAGGTGCCTACCTTTTCTCTGGATCAATAATTCTTCAGATCAGCAATTGCCCTGTAATCCCAAAGCCAGCCACAGCAGCTAATTGCGTATAAGAAACCCATTAGCTAATGTTATGATTTGACTTCGAGCAATTCTCTCTCCACCCTAGCCCAATCGTCTGCTGCGTGCATTATGTTTTAATGTTCACAGTTATCTTTTAGACTCTCATAGGTTCTGTTGGATAGTGGCGCTAGTCACTAGCCTGCTTTACCAATCAAAGTTTGAGACCTCACACCATCCACACTGCAGATTATCAGTCGATTCATCCATATACCAAAGCACACACACCCAAATCCAACCTGACCCCTGGCCATATCTTGCACAATAGATATTCCACCCTCACTGAGGACTATGGTATCCTCAAAACTCTTAACCAGCTACCATAGATCAGCCATTAGGTCTATTCCCTCCCCTCGATGATTCTGTACTGTGGAGCATTTCAGTCCATCTACTACTTTACAACATCTCAGTCTTTGCTGCACCTCTGTGTTGATTGGCCTCGCAGTTCATTTGCCTGCCTTTACTGACAACCGTTTTGGACATTATTGCACCCCTCTTGTGCAGTGGGAAATGTTTTAGTTGCAGCACCTATTTTTCCTTCCTTTCTGCCTTCCCTCCTGTCCTTCCTGCCACATCCTCCTCCATGTCCATTTCTCTCATCTTGCTCTTGCTCCTCCTCATCCCCTTCACCTAATGGCTCATCTTTTCTGGTTCCGACGCTTCCTTCCCTTCCTCTCCCCTTTCCTCCCTCTCCTCCCATTCCCCTTCAGTTCTCCACTGTCCGTCAGCCCCTGTCAAAATATGCTTTATTCGTATAATGTGTAGAAGTGTATCACATAATGTCACATGCAATACAAGTCTGTTTGTCTCAGTATAGTACATAAGGAGCTTCACTACACTCACCAAAGTAGATTATCTCATTCAACGGTATAAGTTTAAAGATCTAAGATACAAACATTTCCAGTACTTACAAACTGCTTTTTATATTGTCCTGCATTATGTTCCAACTTGCAAACAAATCAACTTGTAAATGGACTCAAGAATGGAAACCATTCACATCCCAGGGACTGCTTTTACAATGATGTTTCATGTCAAATAATCTGTAGTACATACAGCTCAAGCGGGTATGTTATGTCCTATTCCTCAGTAAACTGTAGCAGGAAGACCTTACACGGTGCACTTGTGGCATTGAGTCTCATAGAGACTCCTCCAAGCTGTGATCCATGCCTAATCACATTGCCCTGGACATTGGGATGTGGCTGTCTACAACATTTACTTGATGATAGCTCTTTGCACTAGAAAATAGCAAGTTTTGTACAGACCTATATGATGATTCTTCAGCAACTCCCCACTACTGTTCTTTCACTCTCTCCTTACCACACATCTCATTTGACATCCCATTTTCCTCCTACCTACCTACTCATTTTCCCCTGTCTAGATTCAGTTTTCCTCCACCCCCTAACTGAATACTTTTCTGAGTCATGATGCTTTGTGCAATAGTACAAAAGTTTTTTTTTAATGAAGCTAATTATGTCTTGTAAGTACTGGGATGGCAGTACTGTTATTGAGCTCTCTTATTAATATACTCAGTGACCAATAGCTGAAAATTTTACTTCTGTTTCAGGGCTGCTGAAAATGCAGAAACTTCACCTAAAAAGTCTAAGCAACAGAAGAGAGAATTAAGTAGACATTCTGAAAATGGGGAATGTGCAACACAGAACAGAGAAAACAAATTACCAAACACTCCAGAAGCTCAAGAAACTCTGACGTCTAATGAATTGAGCAAAGGCAAGAAACAGATATCATTCCCTGAGGAGGATCCTGAGAGAACAAAACACAGTAAGCTTACAACAGTTCAAAATGGTAGTCGTGTATTTAGTTTCACTGCAGTTATATGAGAAAATGTTTATTTTATAATTATACCATAATTAAACATTTCACTATGTAACAGAAATAGGGAAATAAAAATGTTCTGAGGAAGAGTCACCGGACCCAAAATGTTAACTCTTCTTTCCTTCACAGATGCTGCCACTTTTGCAGCAACTTTGTTTTTGTTCCAAATAAAAATGTGAGTTTATTTAACAGTTAAGGTTGCTTCTTTGGAGCTCCCATGCAGCCAACTTGTCTTCACCCATCCTCTATGTTTTGACTGGTAGTATATTTCTAGCTTTGAAGATACAGCAAACTGTTTACTAACTGGCACCTGTGGAATCAGGAGTGTTTCAGTTGATCAAATATTCAGGTTGGTCAAGGTCCACACGATCAATGTAAAAACACACACTAAGTAATAGAAATGTAATGCAGGAGATATAGACATCACTGCTATACTTTATTTACAGCATAAATCACATAAATGATAATGCAACTTTGTCTAAAATAAAACTTAGTGGCAGAGAGCCTTCTCAATCCCATCCTCAACTCATACCCCATCGTTGTGATAACACAGTAAATTTCTGGTATTCCAGGTATATAATTTTTGCTGGTTTATAGAGAGTGCTGGTTAATAAGGTGGCATATAAAACAAAGTTTGCTGTAATACCTCAGCAATTATATTCTCTTCCTATATTACAAACCATTACCTGACCCACAACTCTTCCATGGTTTGCAATCCTCACTTGCCTTCACCCACTCTTTTCTTACTCAGCTTTCCTTCTAGTGACTGTACCTCATGATGACCAAAACATCAATAAATTCTTTATACTGCATGCTTTTCAAGCTCTTTAACTTGTACTATACAAATATGTACGAACAGTAATTTTGTTGCCAGGACAAGAGAGTCCAATCTCAGCAGGCACCATTATAAAAGTGGAAAAAAAATTGTTTTTGTTTGAAGCAATTTTATGTAATCCAAATTTACTATTTGAGACAATCATGTAATGACAATCAGAATATAAATGGTTTTTGGTGAGTTGGACACAATAAGGACTGCACTACAGATTCTAGAAGCCAGAGTCTATATGTGTGAGGCTGGAAAAGCACAGCAGGTCAGACAGCAATGAAGGACCAGGTAAGTCAACATTTTGGGTCGAAACCCTTCATCAGAACTGGGCAGGGGGAGGGGAGCTCGGACATAAATGGAGGGACAGGAGTGGGGCTGAGAGAAGGGTAGGAGAGATGGTAATAGGTGAATGCAAGTAGAGAGTTATTGCAATTGGTCCATGGGAAAGGTGGAGCGGATAGATGAGTAGGCAGATGGACAGGTTAGGTCAGGCCAGGAGGGGGAGACCTGGACATGGGATAAGGCTGGGGTTGGACGGATTTTGAAGCTGGTGAATTCAATGCTAAGGCCACTGGGCTGTAAGCTTCCAAGGTGAAATATCAAGGGTTGTTCCTCCAATTTACATTTGGCCTCACTCTGACAGTGGAGGAGGCCAAGGATGTCATGACAGTTCAGTAACTTCACCAACACCTTCCACCTCACCCTCAAATTCACCTGGAATATTTCTGATACCTCTCTCCCCTTCCTGGACCTCTCCGTCTCCATCTCCAGAAACCGACTCACCACGGACATCCACTTCAAACCCACTGACTCCCACAACTACCTCAACTACACATTCCTGTCACCCACTCTCCTACAAAAATGCTATCCCATACTCCCAATTCCTGCGCCTCCGCCGCATCTGCTCCCAGGATGAGGCATTCCACTCCCAGGATGAGGACATTCCAGATATCCTCCAACTTTAGGGACCGTAATTTCCCCGCCTCTTTAATTAAGGATGCCCTCAACTGTATTTCCTCCATTTCTCGCACTTCTGCCCTCAAACCCCCTCCCGCCAACAACAATAGGAATAGAGTCCCCTTAGTCCTTACATACCACCCCACCAACCTCCGGATCCAATGCATCGTCCTCCAACATTTCTGCCACCTACAATCAGACCCCCCCACCAAAAAGATATTTCCCTCCCTGTTGCTGTCCGCTTTCCACAGGGACAGTTCATTCCATGACTCCTTCGTCAGCTCTACACTCCCCACCAATTCCTCCACCACACTCGGTACCTTTCCCTGCAACCACAAGAGGTGCAACACCTGCCCCTACACCTCCCCTGTCATCTCCGTCCAAGGCCTCAAACAATCCTTCCAGATCTGGCAGAGATTCACCTGTGCTTCATCCAACCTGATCTATTGCATCTGTTGCTCCCGATGTGGTCTCCTCTACATTGGGGAGACCAAACGCAGGCCCAAGGACCGGTTCACGCAGCCTCTACGCTCTGCACACAACAACGAACACAACCTTCCAGTTGCCATCCATTTTAATTCCCCCTCCCACTCCCCTGACAACATGTCCGTCCTTGGCCTCCTCCACTGTCAGAGTGAGGCCAACCGTAAACTGGAGAAACAACCCTTGATATTTCACCTTGGAAGCTTACAGCCCAATGGCCTTAACATTGACTTCACCAGCTTCAAAATCCGTCCATCCCCAGCCTTGTCCCATATCCAGGCCTCCCCCTCCTGATCTGATCTAACCTGTCCATCTTCCTACTCAGTTATCTGCTCCACCTTTCCCACGGACCAATCACAATAACCGCCTACCTGCATCCATCTATCACCATCTTTCCTACCCTTCTCCCAGTCCCAACCCCTCCCTCTATTTATTTCTAGGCCCCCATCCCCAGTCCCCAGTCCTGACAAAGGGTTTCGGGCCAAAACATTAACTTACCTGCTCTGCAGATGCTGTCTGACCTGCTGTGCTTTTCCAGCCTCACACCATTAGACTATAAATGGCTATTGTTTATCTAGTAAAATCTCCCTTATTTGATTTCTTTTTAGACACTGTCCAGAGTCCCTGCTGAAACATTTAGAATAATTTTTTTAAGAATTAACCTGACCTGAAACTAACCTAGTAAGTGAAAAAGAATCTTAATCTGTTTATCAAGCAGATTTATGCAACAATTTGTGCATGTACCTCTGGTAGGATTGATACCCTGGGATTTGATGATATTGACGTTATTTTGAATTTTTTCATTGGTCCTGTTTTAACGACTGATACTTGTGTACAGTTTTGAATCTGTTTACTATCGTGAAGATTAATGTATTGTTGACTTAAAATCTTCGCACTAAATGGTTTCCCAAGTGGATTAAAGATGACATCATATTTACCTCAGTGATTAAATTATTACCAGGAATATTGGTTTATCAACGCTATTGCTGACTTTGGGAGAATGTTCTCTGATTGTAAGATTACTATGATCGATAGATTAGCTAAAAATATTTCTATTCAAATATTGCAATAGTTCCATAGCAGTCTATGTTCTGAAACATAAATTAATTTATTGATTTGTTTTCAATAAAGGAAGTTGCCACAACTACTAACATATACATACTTGTGGTTCGGGGTTTGGTTAGCTTAGTTAGCTGGATGGCTAGTCTCCAATGCAGAGTAACACCAACAGTGTGGGTTCAAATCCTGCACTGGCTGAGGATACCATGAAGGACTTGCCTTCTCAACATTTCCCCTTGCCTGAGGTGTGGTGACTCTTAGATTAAACAACCACCAGTCATCCCTCTGTAATGAATGAGCAACCCTATGATCCAATAGGACTATGGCAAGTTTACAGATTACCTTTACTTATTTGCATGGCACCAGTATACCAATCTACATCAGTTATTGATTTATGCCAGTTCATGGTGTTGTTCTTATCCTTCTATTGTAACAATTTGAAAGCCAAAAAGGTTTCCCGTTGTCCCAGGGTGGACAGATTTTTTATTAAGCTTAATACATTTGGTCCTTCTGTTACACAAAAAAGGTTTTCAGGTATTCCAAAAAATGGAGCCAGAAAATTCAGATAGCCTGTTTTTTCAGTACTAAGGGTACTGTTTCATGTCCAAAGTGGCAGCCATGCCGTTCTTGCAACTTTCTGATGCAATGACCACCAAACTCTGCAACATTGTTATGTCTGAAAGTGTCCTAGTGGAGTTGGCCACCACTTCCATCCTGACAAAGCCTCTTACGTTCTGCGCGAAGCCGTGTACAAGATTGGTGCTAACTTATCCATGCTGTTTGATGTTGACAAGCTTTCTGCTAAGCTTGCCAATGAATGTTATCGTGCATAGCCTTCAGTTAATTCCCCATCAAAGTTTTCATGTGAGTCCTGTGCAACAGAACTTATTTGCAAACTCATCAGTGTCCTGGCAATTATGCTACCTTTTCTCTCTGGCCTGACTGCAGGCCAGTTGTGCCTGATCACTCACAGGATACAGATCCTGCCTCTGATCCAGTCTCTAAATTATGTGCGTCATCACTGAGTTAATAGTTACGAACGCGAGAACAAATGATGGCGTGATTTCATTACCTTCAGTCTGTTCTTCCTCTTGCGCTTCACATTCCTAAACCATTGCAAGGTTACCATTTTGGGCACTTGAAAGGAGCAAAGCACAAGATAGAGCTGTGTGAGGGAGAGGGAGAATGCTGGAAGTACATACTTAACGTGTCTGCAGTTTGTAAATTAGAACCAATTGTGGGATGAGAAGGAAGTGGGATGTGGGAAGGAGATTAGGTATCAGGATATTAGCAGGCTTCAGCTCTGTCACCTCAGTCGTAGTACTTCCATGATGGCAAGCATGGTTTACTCCATAGGGGTGGACTGCATACTGCCTTACTGCAACTACAACAATCCATATTTATTTAGCACCTTAATTGTAGTAAAATATCTTAAGGTATTCCATAGGAGCTTAAACAAATTCTTGGTAGGCTTTGACAAAATGGGGCAAAAAGGGCAAAGAAATCTTCTCCCTGATTATTTATGGCTAGTTTTACCCAGTGCCTGAACATGCTGTCCACCTTTTATTTGAGGAAAGTCTTGGTTCAGTATCAAGGAGGCAAAGTCCTGATATAATTGCCTTCTCTGCTATTGCCCATGCTTTATACCTGGAACATAAGTATTCCTGAGGTACAAGCCACAGAAAAATAAGTCCCTGGATGTTTTATGGCAAAGGCATTTTTAGAAAAATGTTTTAATCTGTGAGCCTGAATATTATACAGATAGTAAACACCATACCAAAGTACAAATGGCAACATTTTTGGTATTTGGTGCACAGCCTAAGCATAGCATATTTGAGAAAATGTACTTTCAAGCCACAATTAATATCTCAGTTCTTATATATTCTATTTTCTTCAGAAATGTAATTATTGTTACAACACTAAACATAGGCTTTACAAAATATAGTTAAGAATCATCCCTCAATTTAACTGGTGTTCCTCGTATGCAGAACTTATGTCCTTGATGATCATGACTTTACATTTGCTGCCTGATAGTTAGTTGTGAGAGAGCATATCTTGGGTCTATGACAATTAAAGCATATTGTGATCCAAACCAGCCACTGTAATGGCACAAGTGTTCTTCCAGTCTCTCAAATAGTGAAGTGATTAACATTGTAGAAAAATGTGGCTCAGTGTAAATCAATAAACCTAGTTTATTTTACAAATGGTAAGTGAGCAAGCAGTGTAAGATTTACAGTAAGCCTCACTGTGTTTTGATTTAATCCAGTAGGATTCCATGTAATAAATAAAATAATAGGTTCCTATAAATACATTCAATATCTATTTTCTGGTCCATTGTTTCCGTTCAACCTTATCAACTTTGTCTTAACTAAAGCTCTGTTCATTCCCTCTATGGTCCAGTTGAGTCTTACACAACTGCCTTTGACCATATTTGTCCTTGCCCATTTGTTCACCATATCGAAAGAAAGCCAGCAACTTAATCTTGTTTTTTTGTCCCACATCCCCTGCTACTAATTAAGTTGACCACAATTTCTCCAGTTGAGAATGCCAGGAAATTATATCCTGTCGTTTTTGAACCAACAGGACCATGCTGACAAAATGAGTGTTATGTGAGAATTATTAATTCCAAAGTTAAAATAATACAGTGAACATTGGTGATGTTAGAAAATGTATACTCAAAGCATTCATTTGACTCGTCCTTGTCTGGTATTTTAAAATAGTTTATTTTCAATAACAACACATCTAGTGAAATAGAACGTATTACTGACAAGCACTAATTTTTCAAGTATTTTGACCATTAATTCACAAGCCAAACATGAGTGCTTCTGAGGTCACATGCAGATTAGGTATAAAAATTAAGTAATTCAGACTGATATTTTGCAATATTTTGTTTGAGCCAGGAAGGAAACAGAAGACGCCTAAGAAATTTACAGGGGAGCAACCATCTATCTCAGGAACCTTTGGATTAAAAGGTAAACCAACAGTTCAGTTAAAATCCAGTTCAGATAATTCAGCTTTGCATTATTATATCTTAGAAGCATTATGAAAATACATTTTAATAATATATCCGAGATTTTCTCATTCACAAGAACAAACATAACAGAGTATTATGTACTATTTAGAAGTTAGATGTTTTGGGTAAACAGTTTCTCACAAAGATGTTTTTTTGAAAAATATCTTTCTTCATTATTTTTAACAAGTGAAACTTTTTCTTTACACTTTCACCACCAAGTTAGAATAACTTCTTGCCTCCTTGATTTCTGTCTTGCTGTGGGATTTTTTCAGATGCATTGACGTATGGCAAGGAGAGTTTAGTCCAGTGGTTTTTTTCCCCTCTGCTTCTTGGTGGTTAGGCAATTGACCTTGAGTTGAAATTTGTAAGTCAAATGCTGTGAAATGAAATGTTATGTTATCACATAACAGAGCAAGATGCATTGTGAAAAGAGTAACAAAATATATCTGTGGAATATTTACGTTTTGTCGTAGAAGAGAACAAAATGCTCTTAAAGAGAGTGAAAGGACTAATTAGTTATTATTGTGACGATTAATTAAAGGCCTGTCAAAACCAGATGACAAAGGAAGGGGTAAAGGCAAGAAGAAAAATAACAGCACATGCAATGAAGAATTGCAAAGGAAACCTTTGGGAGTTCATATTAAAAAAGAAGCTGTCACATATTTACCAGGTAAGAAAACATTTCAAAGTTTCATCTATAACCCACTCCAAAAGTTTTGAGTCACATTTTGAAACTAAATTGTTAAAATTGTATGATTTTGCGGTAAACAACTCGTGTGTAGAACTTAATGCTTTCCCCATTATAAATTTGGAGGTGAGAAGACATTTAATCAGGCAGGATAATGCTGGGTGGACACCATTGCACCTTCCTGGCTCTAACCAATTAAATTCCAGGCAGGGAAGTTTGTGGACAGCCATCCCACAACAATGCCAAATGAAACTTTAGATGGGCAGTCTAATTAATTAATTTAGTTGGCAGCTCTGGCAGAAAGGCTGCTATCCTCAATTGAACATTGGTCATACCACTGCTGTTAAAATGCCATGCTCAGATTCCACTCCTTCCTGGAGTGGAGTCTCATTCTGCTAATAGAGAATATTCATGGAGTCTGCTTTGGTAAGGAAATAATTAACTTTATTCAGAAACATGTGGCTTAATCTTGCCCCAAACCTGTAGGGACAGCAATTTTGTGTGACATTGCATCACTTCCTGTGATGATGTCTCCTGTGTCTCATTAGAATATGACACAGTTAAATTTAACTCATTATACTGCAAAGTCAAATTCTGCTTTCAGTACTGACAGCATGTCTTCTTAGCTACTAATAAAATCCAGACCAAGGTTCCAGCAACTTCATTAGAGACCAGTGAAAATTCACAGCTCATTGCAGAGGAATTAGTCTATGTTAATCTTTGTTTGCTGGTGCTATGCAATGTCAATATTGTGCCTTCAGCTGCTGGAGGACAAGAGAAAAAAAGCTGGGTTGCTTTATAGGTTTCAGCTTGGAAACCAAAACATTAATCAAGCAGTCGCAAAACTACAGACAAGAGTTAAATTCAGGACTGTAGCCCAAAACACCAGGGTATATTTTATTTTTGGAGTGCATTTTCAAGTGGCTCAGGCAAAAGCCTATTTGAAACAAGACTGTATTTTCTTCTACAAAATTTCACTGTTGGAGTAAGACGTCAGCCTGAGTGAAAGGCAATGCTCCAGGTTCTGTCTGGAGATCCTGCTGTAAAGATTTGGGAAAGCAGGGGTGGAGCGAAGGAGGCTGTGGGTGACCTTAAAGAAGTTTATAAAATCACGAGGGGCATAAGATAAGGTGAATAGCAGAGGTCTTTTCCCTAGGGTGGGTGAGTTCAAAACTATGGTGCATATTTTTAAGGTGAGAGGAGAAAGATTTAATAGGGACCTGAGGGGCAACATTTTCACACAGAGGGTGGTTCGTATGTGGAATGAACTGCCAGAGGAAGTGATGGATGCAGGAACAGTTAAGATATTGAAAAGATATTTGGATAGGTACATGAATAGGAAAGGTTTAGAGGGATATGGGCCAAATGGGCAAGTGGATTTAGATTAGTTTGGGAGACTTTGTCAGCATGGATGATTGAACTGAAGGGTCTGTTTCTGTGCTGTATCACTCTATGTAGCAGGAAACAAAAAGTTGAAATAACTTGCCTCGGAGCTGTTTGCTTTTCTGGGACTCCTTGAGCCCCAGACCTGCTTGCCACCAGATCTATCTGGCTCTGAGGCCACAATGACTACCTTACAGCAGCATCAGAATTGCTGCCAAGCCTTGATGATCCCCATGGAGCATGATCTCTGTGTTTAAAGAAGGAATCCATTCCCCTTTGCTAAGTCTCCTACCACTTGTTTGTTCAAAAAGTACTGGTTAAATGTGCAACCAATAGGAAGTCACCTATTTTACTGCATTCCCGTATTCTATTGAGCAGATCAGGTTAAAGTCATTCTTTCAGAATTAGATGTACCAACAGCTATTTCAAAAGGGATGCTTTCATTTAATGGACTTATCAATCTGGATGTAGTTTGTATTTTTGCAATGTTATGATACTTTTGCACAGGACCTAATACCACTCGTTCCCAATACTCTGAACTCAATCAACAGCAGCAACGTTGCACCCTTGCTAAGTCTGTCTGCTGAGAAGAACTGTTTTTATTGGCAATTTACTGACTGGATTCTCAAAGGCCAGTGAAAAAAAACCAGCTTGAAACAGTTGCAAAAGAGACTGTAATGAGTGGTTGTGACAAAAACTGTCTTGCACTAGAGTAGAAATTTCTTTCTTGTGAATTACCAAGCAATGTTGCATTGTATAAATAGTATGACCTTAAGTATGTGATAAACAATTAATATTCTGGAAGTACACACACTGTTGCTTTTAATGTTATATATGATTGACAACAGGAAGCCAGGAAGAAAAGTGGCAGCAGGAGATTTCAGATAGAGGAGAAGTTATCTGTCCAAACTGTATGACTGTACACAGGAAAACTGTAGCAGGCTTGAAGAAACACCTAGAAATCTGCAAAGAGGTACGTAAGATTTAATTTTTCTAATATTAAAAAATACATGGGACTTGAAATTCAGCAATTTTAAAGAAGAAGGTCATGGTAGTGGAGGAGTGCAGAAATTTACTTGTTTTGTCACTTCAAGTACAGGTCATGTACGTGAGTTACACCAGTTCCAAGAGAAATATCACTTTCCAGTTGAATTTAATGTCAGCCAGAAAATGTACTCCATGGTGCATGTCTGTAAATGAAATGACAATGAGGGCAAAACCTCCAAGCTCAGAAATTCATACATTTATGTAAGGATTGAGCCTGACTTGAATTAAATCTGTAAATGAGAGATAAAGTTACCCACTTGTTTTGTCCAACCAGGACGTGGTCGAGCTCACTGTTCATAGACTTTGAAACATCAGTATTGACTTGAGTGTTTCCAAAATATCTTTTCTCAGCTGGGAAACTAAGAAGTGAACTTGCAAGCTACATGTCTGCAATTTCAACAGGGAAATCTTTTACTTTCATTCCTCTGACATGAAGTTCTTATTGTGGAGCTCTTTGCGGATATTCACATACACAGAACAAGAGAAGGAAGAAATCAAAGAGGAAAAGTTGATGAAGCTGCAAGAGAAAAGAGCTAACTAAAAGCAAAAGACTGTTCTGGAAAAGAGTTATTAGATTTGAAACGTTCACATTATTTCTGTCTCCACAGATGCTGTCAGACCTGTTAGAGTTTCTCCAACACTTTCTGTTTTTTTTATTATAAGAGAAAAGGAGTTTTTAACAGTCTGTATATCATGCAGCTCCCTTGAGGTAATCTTCTTAGGGAGGCACATGTTCTTTTGAATAAAAGTAGCAATTGTCTCATTGCAAACATAAAAAGCAAAGAACAGGCATATCTTGGTCTCTGGACATCAAATCACAAAGTAACTTTATTTTGCTTGTATATAGTTACAATAAATGGTTCTTTCTACCAACATCTCTACCCCAGTGCCTGTTTGTACCATTTTTAAACATTTCATAGTGCTGCAGCACTATGATTATTTAAGATTATTTAAGCAGGCACTTTGAATATTAGTTTGCAACAGTACTCATGTGATTAGATTTGCTGGCACTTACAAAATTTACAAAGCCAGATGATGTACTTAAAAATATTCCAGTTATCTCAGCCATTTTTTGAAAATGTTTCTTAAAGATTTCACCATTATATATTCATCCCACTTAATTTATTACTTGACACACATTCCCCATCTTCTCCTTCCCTGAAAGTTGTCACTCCTCACTGAGATGTGATACCAGAGGTTTGAGTCATCTTCTGGTCCCATACTGAAGTGTCTTTGTAAGCCTTGACAATGCATACTGTTCAACACCAGAGAATTTCTTTACTTCACTGAAATGCCAATTCTGTTGTGTCAATCAGGGTGTTTATCTAACAAATTATTTCAGCAGTTCTCACTGATCCCCTCAGCTGATGTCCACTCTTGCAAAGTTATGAGCATAGCGTAAGTTTTACGTCATAGGAAAGAGGTCTTGGATTTATCAGGTCTGTGCAGGTGTTTCTCCGCATATGTCTCCCAATCCAATCCCTGTGTCCTGCTTGCTACCCTATCCTTGAGTGTTTGTTTTTAAGCATCTGATTCGCAAATACCATCTGCAAGAATATAGTTTTTTCTCAATCTCTCCTTTCTGAGATTATTGTCAATTTGTCCTTCTACTATTTTACTCACTACAGTAAGCAATCAATAACTATATGCACCCATCCTATGTAATTCCCTGATTTAAAAGTACACTTTCTCTGTGAAAGCTGAGGAGGAGAGTGATCAAAATAATTAACTGTGGTTCAGGTACTCGGTGGTGTAATCCCATTGAGCCATCGGGGATTTGTGCATGGTATTTTTACATTAGAATTTCACAATTTTTTTTCTCAATATATAAGGAAGGAATAAAATGTATTTTAAAATAACTAGATATTTTAGATGTTATTTTAAAGCAATGTTTTTTCATTTAAACTTTAGTTACGTAAAATTTAATCCTTTGAGATGACTTGCTAAGATTATGTGTAAAAAGGCTGTGTTATCAATCCAGAAAGATTTACTCCTCTTTAATACTTACAGCTGCAGAATGCTTTGAAGTGTCAACATTGTGCTAAGCAGTTTAAATCTAAAGCTGGGCTAAAGTATCATACTATGGCAGAGCACAACAATAAGGTTAGTGAATGACCTCAACTTTTGATTACATTAATTAAAGCTTCCATCCAATTGGACAGCTGAGGTTCAATTTCATGAACACTGGCACCCAATGAGAAATATTACCTGCTGGGAATGCATATTAGGAAATTGAAACTGTGTGGAATTTTCCAAACATAGGCTTCCAATAGACAAGGCTGGTTGTTATGCATTCATATAAATTATCTGATGGTGTTTCTGACCTTGTTAAGAAACAGTATTTTCTTGCCTCGTATCTTACAGCCTTTGGTGAATGCAGAGAAGCTGCTGGATGAACAGCAGGAGCGTGAAAGACTGCGAAGAGTACTTAAACAAATGGGAAAATTGAAGTGTCCTAATGAGGTTAAATACATTCTAAATATTAATATCGGAAGGTTAAAGCTGAATTTTATTCACTTGTTTTTAAAGTTATTCGGATCAGTTTTACGACTATGCATTCCTGGAACAGTGTCTTGCTTATGGAAACATACAACAGAAAATTATGAAACTCATGCATGATTTCACGATATGCATGCAGTCTGTGCTAAGAATCTACATGGATAATTTTTACCAGATAGAGTTGTGCATTATTTCAGCATTTGAAAGCTCCCAATTAGATAGTTATGGAAATACATGGGGCAACTGTATGTCAGAATAATTTTCAAAATTGGAAATCTCCCTGTTGCTTGATTTGGTGCATTATATCTACAGTTATTATCTTCCTAGGGTTGCACAGCTACATTTGCCAGCCTAATGGGCTACCAGTATCATTTAAAAAGATGTGGGAAAGAGCCTGCAGATATTGAGAAAGCTGTTTTCATTTGTGAGCATTGTGAAAAGGAGTATAAATCAAAGGCTGGTCATGACTATCATGTAAAATCTGAACACTCAGCGGTAAGATTGCTTGATTTCCAAATGTAATTTTAAAATGTTTAATTTCTCTCTTGCTCTTTTATTGGCAATGTGCAAACATTTCTTTAAAGCTATTTATGAGCTGTTTCTTGTCAATAACTTAGTAATGATTAAGGTTACTATTAGGAGTTCATCACAGTATTAAAGATTTGTATGTATGTAGTATTTAGGATATGCTCAAGCGGTTCACAGTCAATTATGTATGCTTGAAGTATTGTCAGGAATTATATTAGCCAATTTGCTCACAGTATGGTAGTACAAAGAGGAATGAAATAAATGACTGAATAATCTGTTTTATTGATGTAGTAAATGTGGTCAACTTCCCTGCTCTTTTTTGAATAGTGCATCGGTGAATTGCAAAGCTTAAAAGTTCATCTGACAGATGGCATTCTCAACAATATGGCAATCCTTTAGTGCTACAGTGGAGTGTCAGCTGAAATTAGGCCGGTCTAGATGTGCTTAACAGGGGCTTGAACTTGCCATATTTTTCATTCAGGAAGTAGGATGCGATCATAACTATAGGTAACAGTATAGAGAATATTAAAGAGCTTTATCATAGAGTCATTGAACTGTATACATGGAAACAGACCCTTTGGCCCAACTCCTCCATGCTGACCAGATATCCTAATTAATCTAGTCCCATTTGTCAGCATTTGGCCCATATCCCTCTAAACCCTTCCTATTCATATACCCATTCAGATGCCTTTTAAATGTTGTAATTGTGCCAGCGTCCACCTCTTCTGCAGCTTGTCCCATACATGCACCACCCTCTGCATGAAAAAGGACCCTTTTAAGTTTTTGCCCTTTTCTCTTAAACCTATGCCCTCTAGTTTTGGACTCCCCTACCCTGGGGAAAAGACCTTGGCTATTAGGGGAGGTGATGGCCTAGTGGTATTATCGCTGGATTAACAGTCCAGTGACCCAGATAATGTTCTGGGGACCCAGGTTCAAATCCTGCCATGGCAGATGGTGGAATTTGAGCTCAATAAATATCTGGAATTAAGAATTAATGATGACCGTGAATCCATTGTCGATTGTTGGAAAAACCCATCTGGTTCACTAATGTCCTTTAGGGAAGGAAACTGCCATCCTTATCTGGTCTGATCTACATGTGACTCCAGACCCACAGCAATGTGGTTGACTCTGAACTGCCCTCTGGGCAATTAGGGATGGGCAATGAATGCTGCCTGGCTAGTGACACCCTCATCCCGTGAATGAATTTTTAAAAATATTTACCGTATCCATGCTGCTCATGCTTTTATGAACTACTGTAAGGCCACCACTCTGCCCCTAACAATCCAAGAAAAATAGACCCAACCTATTCAGCCTCTCCCTATAACTCAATCCCTTCCACCTTGGCAACATTGTTGTAAATCTTTTCTGAATCCTTTCAAGTTTCACAGCAACTGTCCTATAACAGGGAGACCAGAATTGAACACAGTATTCCAAAAGTGGCCTAACTAATGTCCTCTCCATCCGTAACATGACTTCCCAACTCCTACATTCAGTGCAATGACTAATAAAGGTAAGCTCACCAAACACCTTCATCACCACCTTGTCTACCTGAAACTCCACTTTCAAAGAACTATCAACCTACACCCCTAAGTTTCTTTGTTCAGCAACACTCCCCAGGATCTTACCCTTAAGTATATAAGTCCTATCCTGATTTGTCCTACCAATATGCAGCACCTCAAATTTATCTAAATTAAACTCTATCAGCCACTCCTCGACTCATTTGCCCATCTGATCGAAGTCCCATTATACTCTGAGGTAACCTTCTTCGCTGTCCAGTGCACCACCAATTTTGGTGTCATCTACAAACTTACTAACCATATCTCCTATATTCACATACAAATCATTTATATAAAAGACAAAAAGCAGTGGACCCAGCACTGATCCTTGCAGCACACTGCTGGTCATAGGCCTCCAGTCTGAAAAACAACTCTCCATCACCCACCTCTGTCTCCGACCTTTGAGCCAATTTTGTATCCAAATGGCTAGCTCTCCCTGTATTCCATGTGATCTAATCAGACTACCATGCAAAACCTTGTCAAACGCTTTCTGGAATCCATATAGACAACGTTCACTGCTCTGCCTTCATCGATCTTCTTCATCACTTATTCAAAAAACTCAATCAAGTTGGCAGTATTGAATTTACATTGTTAAAGCCTTATTCTTATGTTAGAATCATCAATACACATTTATTTCATCTTAATTAATAGTACACTTGTTTTTGAATCGGGGTACATTGGCTGAAACCCTACCTCAGGACATGATCGTATCATTTATGTTAACATTCTAGCTTTGGCTGCAATAATGAATTTGAACATTTAACTTTAGAATAATTTATGACTGAAATTTGTCAAGTTTTTTTTCATAACTTGTGTATCTATAAACAGTTCTATCAATTAAGCCTCTTCCCCAATATCTAAGCAAGAAAAAATTGGAGCCCTTTGAGTTATAACTATCTACGTAGGCAGATTAATAAAATTAACAAAAATTAATTGAAAAAGTACTATTTATATGATTTCACAGTTTTACCTCCATTTCTTTCATTTATAAATTACTTCTCAGCTTAATCCCTGATGACACATGTAAGTACATGTTGTAAAGGGCAGAAAGTTTTCTGGAGATATTATTCTCATCGTTTTTCTTTATTCGCAACTGCCTGATTTAAAGAATGATGACGTTTCTAGCTGTAACATTGAAATCATTAACATTTGTTGTAATGTATCCATTCATGTGTTGTCAGAAAGGAGAAAAGGGCAAGTTCACCTTTTTAACCATCATTTAGATAATAACAATTACAACAAAATATTGTTTAGGCAACTGAAGATTCTGATCAGAAATCAGCTGAGGAAGACTTTGAGAATTTGTTTGAGAAAACTCCGAGTGGCCGCATCCGTCGAAGATCTGCACAAGTAGCTGTTTTCCATCTCCAGGAAATTGCAGAGGATGAGCTTTCAAAACTTTGGACCAAAAGAAGAAATAAAGATGATTTAGTCCCCGATATTAAGAGGGTGAGGGAATATTTATTTCAATGTAAGTAACTTGAAGAAAATTGAAGAAATTTTGCTGAAAAATTGTGTTGACATTTATTTTTGTAATTTTATAATGTGATCCGGGGGGCAGGGTCTCTCAGTAATTACATGCTAATTCCTGCAGAAGTCTTTAATCCTGTATGAAAGCTATCATTCAATGAAAATATTTTTAAAAATAGCACTTCTTACACAGAGGGCTATGTGATTATACTCAATTTAAACAGTCCTTAATTCACATTAATGTCTTAATTCAGTCAGAGCTCTGCTATGTGCAGTTTTGATTGCTCCATGTCAAATAAACGTAACACCAGAAGACTGAATAAAAAGAATCATTGGCAAGCTTTCCAAGAAAGTAATAGCTAAGAATTGGTGCAGTCTTAATTACAGTATCACAATCTACTGTATAATAAATTAGCAAGACATTGTTTGTTTGAGAACCCAATTATGAAGGTTACTCTTACCACGTCTTTCTTTCTTGATGTAGCTTAAATACACTCGTCCGGGGCTACCATCATTCAACCCCAAACAGCTTGAAAGCTGGAAAAATGAAGTCAAAGAAAATGGTCAGATTTGCTGTCCTAACAATGTAAGTCAACACAACCATGAATTTTGTTTTAGATCTTTCACGAAAGCATTTGTTTTGTGTGGTATTGTGAAAGATTATTTTTTTCTCCAAACTCATGCTATTTCCAAGCATGTTTTATAATTAGGTTCCACATCCTGCTCCTTTGACCCCTTTTAGTTAAACAACTCACCACCCAACCCTAACGTGCATGCTGGTTGACGATGTGAATAGTTTCCTTTTCCCAGGCAATAACTGTTCACGTGAACCTACTGCTCAAAATACACACCCTGATCCACTCCACACTTGTAAAGAAACTACAAAATTTCCCTTTCCTGTCCTAAGTACTTGAATGCACTGTCACTTCCCAGATCCTTGTCCAGTTCTCTTGAAACTACCAGTATGAATCTTCCTTTGACTTTCTATACTTTCTGAATTTGTAAAATGATCCTAACCAAAATCATAAATTACTTTATCTACTGCAGTGGTGCATTATCCTGCCTCATCAGCCTCAATCAAGCAACAAACAACTATATTATTTTCTTGCTGAAATTGCCTTCACTTTGTTACAGTCTTATTTGCCCATTAATCTGGCATCCTTCCACTTCACGATAATCACCTTAGTAGTCTTACATGGCTCTCCCTCATAAACATGTTGGCACTTGTTTGAATCATTAGTGAGCATTGGGGTCAGTGACCCGAAAAATACATTGAAAAATGTTGAAGTGATAGCATGAAATCTTGCCCCAAATTATCCATGTCACATTTACTCTCTCTGTGAGCAAGTAGTTCAAATCATGTCATGAATACCAGTGATATCATCTATATCTCTCCATAACCTCTCTTGACTTCTCCAATGATTTGTCCTGTTAGCCTGCTTCTGTGATATCCAGTCTTGGATAATCATCAGTTTCCTACAGCTTAACAGTAGGAAAGCTGAAGTTATTTTCTTTGGCCACTGCTGGGAACTTTGTGTCCTTATCATGATCTCCAGCTTCTTCCATGGACACTTTCTGAGGCTTTAACAAACTTTGTAAGCATCGACATTATACTTAATCCTGAGCTAAGCTACTGACTCCAGGCACTCAATTTTCCCAGGCACTCAAATAATGTGGGCATTGGTGAAAAAAGTTGGAAAGATTACGTGAGATCAACATTGAGGATCTTCCCATTGTCGAGGACAAAAAGCCCCATTTTACAATCAAGTGTTGAACTGGAAGATGAAATTCTCACTAGTGAGTGGTGACGAGTCTATTTGCATGTATTAGCATGTATTAACATCCTCATGATGACATCATATCGCCTCATCGATGTGCAGTTTTCCCCTGTTTCACCCGCTGGATAGAACCTTGACAGTGACATTCCCCACATGGAAGTCAGAATGGTAACCTGGCAACTTCAGCTTGCTGCTTGCCCCACCAGTCAGTCACCAACACCCCAGCAGCATACACTCTGTGAGCAGTGACTGCATACAAATCTGTCCAAGAAGGCATCCAGGTTTCCATTAGTAAAGCAAGTGCCAATTGCTTTCTGTCCTTAATTTTCGGACAAATAAAGTGAACAGTGGACCGCCAGTGTTTGACCAGGTGCATGACTGAGCTTTAAAGACTGAAGCCTGCAGATATCCCAACAAAGTCTATTCTTTTTTGTCTACAGTGAGTGGGAGATTGTGACAAGCAGGGCACCACAGGATTGTGAGCATAGCTAATGAGCCAAGTTTGTAAAGGTAGCATGAGAAAACCCATTAGGGCTTACAGGAGGAAAGCTTCCATGAAGCTTACCAAAAATTACACTTGGCCGATTCCTGGTAAGATTCGGCACCCTCTCTTTTCCAGGTATGGGGCTGTACAACTCTTAGTTAGCCAGAAGTTAAAATGGCAGGTTTGACTTGATTACAGAACTGGGACAAGACTTTGTCGTTTAAATTAAGCTCCTGCTTCTCTTGGTTATGTGTTCTTGCCCTGCCTAATTTCAAGCTAGTTAAAATGGCTGTGCATTTGAATACTTTGACAATGTTGTGCAAACTCCTCATCTGAAATTTGAACTCCCTGCTTGTACCATTTCCATTACTAAGAAGATTGAAATTCTCCAATAGCTTCTGCCCTACTAGTCACATGTCCGGTATTCTTCTTCATTCAACATAAACACGCCAGTGATACACAAGGATTAGTGAAACAATGTATTAAGTATAGAAAATAATGACATTATCCACCAGGAGACTACTACATGCATGTCTTACTCCAAGTCCTGCTGCTCATAGACTGACAGCAAGTCATGACACAAACATACCATAGCCTGCATCAGTAGTTGTAATGATTGACAGCAGTTTGAGATGTCCTCACTAAAAGCTGCATGCCATTGTATCACATTAAATCATTTTACTTTCTAACAACTCCTTTGTGAAAAAGATTCTACAACTGTAATTTTTCTCTTAATGATCTTGAACTTATATTCTTATTGTTTTGCTAAACAATATGAACAATCTTTCACTGCCTTAGCCTCCAAAAATATTTCATATTTATGAAAATGTTAATCTGAGGAGTGGCAATCACTGTCAGACTGACTCTTAGCTGCTCCCTGTTTTTAATGTGAGAACTGAACTCCATATACCTCACCCGCAGGTTCAATCCCAGCTCATTCCCAAATACAGAACCTACCTGAAATCCATCAGTTCCCTCATGGTGCAGGATAATTAGGGGAGTCAAACCACCCTCTTGTGCCATATTCTATGATCATTCATTATCTCATTGCTGGCATTTTTTTTGTTTAATATGAACAGCCACCTCATCACCACATAAAAGTCATCACCCCTCACACATTCCCATGCCCCCAATACCCATTGCTCATTCCAATGCCACTAACAGTGATCATCCTGCTTTCCTTAACCAACAGCACTGACACCCCCACACCCCCCCACCACACCCCCCACCCCCACACACACACACACGCACGTGCACACACACACATACACACACACACTCATCAGGCTGGCTTCAGTGGGGTGTTTTGCTTGGGAGGGGTCAGGTTGGCAGCTTGCATTGTTAGGGGGGATTATTTCTGGCAGAGTCGGGTTGAGGGGATAACAGGCAGCATAAATCAGGGCTGGTCAAATGTCTGGCTGTCAGGCACTCAGGGTAAGTGTAGTTGTAGGCAGGAGTGAGGAATTTAATGGAACTGAATCCTGGAAATTGTGAGGTGATGCATTCTGAGGGACCAACAAGATGAGTGAGTTCATGATAAAAGGAGGACCTTAGGAAATATGAAGGATCAGAGAGACATTGGTGTGCAAGTCCACAGATCCATGTAGGTACAGGACAGATGGATAAGGTGGTTAAAAAGGTATTTACGATATTTGTCTTTATTAGTCAAGGCATTGAATGCAAGAGTATAAAGGTTATGATAGAGCTGTACAAACATTGCTTTGACCACAGCTGGAATACTGTGTGCAGTTCTGATTGCCAAAGGACGTGATTGTACTAGAGACGGTGCAGAGGAGATTCACCAGGATGTTGCCTGAGCTAGAGTGATTTAGCTATGAAGAGAGACTGGATAGAGTGGAGTTTTTTTCCCTTAGAGCAGAGAAGGCCAACGGAGGACTTCATTGAGGTGTACAAAAATATGCGGAGCATTGTACTGGCAGACAGGAAGAAGCATTTTCCCCTCCAGTATTAGAAATGACTTTACAGTCAGAAAGAAGAAGATGTCTACAGCCTCACCTACTTACTGCCTCAATTAGCTATCTTGTGTTTTGCTTCTACTTGATGTGGTTGTTTTCAAGAAATGTCTTGTATATTCTATCTTACAGCGTTGTGAAGCAATCTACTCAAGTTTTTCTGGATTGAAAGCACATCTAGCAACATGTACTAAGGTAAGTTGGAAAGATAAAATAAAGTCATCATAGTCATACCGGACCATAGAGCTGCTCACTCATTACAGAGAGACAACTGATGGTGGTTTAACCTGAGGGCCACGATGCCTCAGGTGAGGGGAGAGGTTGAGTCCTTCATGGTAACCTCTGATGGCGTAGGAATTGAACCTGTGCTGTTGGTGTTAAATTGCATTGCAAACCAGTCAGGCAATCAACTGAACTAACCAACCCCCTCAAAAATACCCCAATGGCTAATGTGTAACCAAGTTGTTTAGGAGTATTCACACATACTCGTATACTTTCCAGCCCAAAGAACAAAAACGGACTATTGGTGGCAAAAATTATTAAATCATCCCCAAAGACTGACAATTCAATACACACTTGTCCCCACATCTGATCCTTTGTCAGGATGAAATGTGTATTGGAAACCACAAATATCAGTGACAGAATAAAGGAGGTGGTTGTCAAGGAGGCAGCCAATTAAGTAGCTCAGCCTCTTTAAGGGCAATGAATCAATAGGAATGTTGACCAGCACTGGAATATTTGCATCCTCACCTTTGCACTCCTGTAGTACATGGGTAACCAGGAGGGCGCCTCAACATGGAGGCACCCTTTGAATATTTCAACATTTAAAAATAAGGTGTGGCCACAGTTGCTAGGTCAGCATGTAGAATTGAACCACTAAGCCACTGTGGCAATCGTGGTAACAAGGGCGTGAAAATTAAATGAGAAATCACTGGGTCCCTGCACTGCTGCTGTGAAGCTGCCTCCATTTATCCACCAAGCACTTAAATAGTGTCGCAGCGTGCCTTCAGAGGGCCGTTTAACTGGCTCATCCAACCTCCTCCAACAAAAACAGGGGAAACATGCTGGCAATCCCACAGCACAAAATTGCAGAACCACCCACTTCTGCACCCCCACAGAAGTCAACCCCAGGGAAGTACTTGTTTTCCCATTTCTGCGTGAAATTTTGAACTTTCAGAATAAAAATACACATTCTGGTTAATTTTAACAAGTCTCCCTCACACTCACTGAACTTCAGAGACTCTTGCCAATCTCCAGAGGCAGTTCGTGGTATAGTATGTTCAAGTGGCTGTGAGTGAGGGAGCTCCCAGACTCTCAAAAGAGCAAAGTGCTGACAATGCTGTAAACCTGTAACTAAAAAAGAAAAATGTTGAAAATACTTGGCAGTTCTGCTTAAACTGGACGCCTTGGGTTGGAGCTGTTCAGTTCAGTCAAGGAGTCAGTGAGAAACATTAACTCTTATCTGCTGCTGCCACATTTTGGTTTTTAAAATTTTTCACATTTGGTTTTAAAACAAATTTGGAGTAATTGGAAAATTCCAATTAGAACTTAAAATAACAGTAAGGGATATTTTCAAACTGCAGTCAGTCCATGCCTCCTTACAGGCCTGGGCACCATATGCAATAACATGGAATCGTGTAACTTGCTTGCTCTTGTGAAGGAAATTCTTGTGTCATTCTGCATGACCACACCTCCTCATCAAACAAAGCTACAGGCTATTGATCTAATCTCACAAGCAAAATACTTAATGGTCTCCAATTGCTTTCCACTGATGATGATTTCTAACAACATACCAATCACATTGTCCTAATTCATTATTAAGATAGAATGTTTCCAATTCTGAAATCCTCCTTTCTCTTTCCCTCACCTCCAACACTGAAAGCTTTGGGTTCATCTTGTGTAACATCTTCCTAGGCAACGTTCTGAGTTCCACCTTATGCAAACTTGATTCCATCTTGTGCCCTGTCTCCAGCCATAGTGCCCCGGCAAACACACTCTGCTCTTAAGGGTCTCCTCTCCCATTGGTGATAAAACTTTCAAGTGTCACAGCTCTTACATCTTATAATTCCTTTCAGCAGTGTTCACCTTATGTTCCACTTTCAAATGCCTCCTCAGAAATCTACCTCTTAAAACTTAGCTTCACCTGCCCAAACTTTTCCCCCATTCTGGTTTGTATCCAATTGGTCTCCTTAAGAAGCAATTTGAAGGGCCTCATGTAAATGTAAATTTTTCTTCCATACTAAATATATAGATATCCTTTAAATTATCTATTCCATTCCTAATTAGAAACTTTAAATCAATTAACACAAGATTAAAAGTCAGCCCATTCCACATCCACTACAACTGCATAAAAAATCTGATTTACTTAAAGCTTGTTAATTATATCTTCATGTCTTCTTGGTATATGAACCACTCTGACAATATCCATAATTCAAATTGGAAAGTAACAGAAATAAAAATCTATTCAGTGTTTCATTTGTCTATCTTAGGCTAGATTGTCTAAAACTACATTTACTATTACCTTATCAATGAATTATGAAGAATTATTTATCGAAATCTCTCTGCCATTTACCTTATGTTCCCAGCAAGTTTTCAATCCAGCTCATAAAATTTCCCATTAATGCCAGCTTCTGCAAACACCATTATCAAATTGCTTCTAATAAATCAAACAAAAATCATATACAAAGTATTTCTTTTCTGAATTTAGACACTGAGGCCTAATGTTGACCACTGGTACTCTATTCAGGTGAACATTAGTAATATTCCGGCAATGGCATCAACTGTGTCCTTATGCAACCTAACTGAAGCCTGTTTTCTTGATTTTTTAAAAAATTCATTCAGGGGATGTGGACAGCTCTGGCTGGGCCAGTACTTATTGCCCATCGCTAATTGCCCAAAAGGCAGTTAAGAGTCAACCACCTTGCTGTGGGTCTGGAGTCACATGTAGGCCAGACCAGGTGAGGATGGCAGATTTGCTTCCCTAAAGGGCATCAGTTTGAACCAAAGGGGTTTTTCCAATCGGCAGTGGATTCATGGTCATTACTAGACACTTAATTCCAGACCTTTTTTCCCTATTTTATTGAAATTCCACCATCTGCCATGGTGGAATTTGAACCCGGGTCTCCAGAACATGCTGAGATTGTGGATTAATAGTCTAGTTATAATACCACTAGGTCATCGCCTCCCAGCATAATCTGACCCTTACAAAGCTTCAAATTCTTGGCTGTAGTTTTGTGATTAAAAAATGAAAGATTTCCATTTATACAGGTCTTTTCATGACTACCAGACATCTCAAAGTGCTTTACAGCTATTGCAGCACTCCTTGAAATGTAGTCGCTCTTATAATGTAGGATATGTGGCAGCCAGTATGCATACCGCAATCTACCACTCCGATGACAATGAGTAAATGATCGAATAATATGTTTTCAGACAAATGATTGAGGAATAAATATTGACCAGGATACCATTGATAACTGCCCAGCACTTCTTCAGAATAATGCAATGGTACTGTGACCCTGTTCGTAGGAAGAAATATGCAGTCTTGGTTTAACCAAAAGCAAATGTTTCCGACAGGGTTGTGCTCCCTGATGGGAGTATGTTATGAACGCAATAGCTAATCCTGAATCTAATTGGATTCAAAACAAATGAACAATTATTAAGGACATAAATATTCTCATTTATTTAACCTATTATTTTCCCCATTTCTCTCTATCATTCTCTTCCTCACTTCACACGCTGGATACCAGTTGACTGTATCAAAAACAGAAATTGCTGGAGTTAATGTTTCAGGTCCGGTGACCCTTCGTCAGAACTGTTCTGAGGAAGGGTCACCAGACCTGAAACATTAATTAATTTCTCTCCACAGATGCTGCCAGACCTGCTGAGCTTTTCCAGCAATTTCTGTTTTTGTTTGTGATTTATAGCATCCGCAGTTCTTTCAGTTTTTATTTACCAGTTAACTAATCCCCACATGTCACTTTCCAGACAACCATTAGATGGCAATGATGTGCAACCTGAGCAGAATCTTCAACTTTGCTCACAAATAATATGAGCATTTTGTTCCATTCACGTCATATTTACCTGAATTTGCTGTTTTTAATAAAATTTGATTTAACTAATGCATCATTAAGAAACACCATAGCAGTACGTGCATGTATTTCAACTTGGGGACTTTGCAATCCCCATTTGACATTGAGGTTTGAGTTCTGCTGTAATGCAAGTACCTCACGATATGTTTATGTTGAAATTTTAGTGTGATTTATAACCTTGTTGGAGTAGATCTGTGATGTCTATGAGGATGTTTATGCAGAACTTTCTCTGTGATGGGAGAATTCAGTTGGGGATAGTCTGTATAAACTAACTGAATTTTTTTGCTTCAGGTCGTAGTCTCCAACTGTTGTCTCCAATGGTGTTTTACACTTCTGCTGGCAGGGTTTCTCTGGAATTCTTCTGCTTTAACTTCAGTGTAATTTGTAACTGGGGTATATTGAATTTCTGCCAAAGTTATAGTTGGTCAGCAGGAAACATCCTAAGGAAATTCCCAGTTTTGCATTTCATTTGATTGGACCCCTTAAAATGGAAAAATTAGAAGCAAACCACTGTAGTTTTTGACTCTAGTTCCCAAATACCCTCCTAACATTTATAAATAGACACACATTTCTGTGACATAGTGTGTGCAGAAAGTGGACGAACACACAGGCAGCGTTCAGATAGCTTGTTAACCATTAAGTTTTAAGATCAGCTGGTGCCCCTAAAGTCTCAGGCCACCCATAAAATTGTACAATATATCACTGTATAGAAACAGACCATTTATCGTAAGAAATCTATACCAGTAATTTTCTGCGCATGATTCACACCTCGTCTATCTTTACTGGTCTATTCATATCCACATTTCTTAATATTACTCTTTTTCAAGCAATTATATAGTTTGCTTTTCAAAGAATGCACAGCCAGTTCCGTATTCTATATTAGGTAATTCCATATTAATGTGACAGTGTTCAAGGCATGCATACTGGAACTGTGCTTTTTGTAGGGTACCACTGAAAACAAAACTTGTTGGCTTGGGAGCTGAATTCTGTATCCCTTTATGCCATTGTAATGCTGAACCGTCTGCTCCCACTTGCTATGGGGTCTGTTTTCACCTCTGAATCACTTCGGAATATTTCCTGTGTAAATAGACTATATAAATATATTTGTGTTGGACTGCTCAAAGAAGCACAACATATGACAGTACAGTTTTGTACGTAAATTACACAAAGAGTTAATTTCCTAAATTCATGTTGCTTGTAATGAACCTTGCCAACAGAGAGAATAGATTAGAAATTTATACATTGCTTGCTAACAATGCACAGTTAGGAAATTGCCTCATAAATGCAGCCACTCCTGACATATGAATACCTTGTAGTTTTCTTTTAAATATTCATCCTTTGAGATTTAATGATGTAATATTTTATGACAGGGTGAGCATCTCGTTGGGAAATACAGGTGTTTGATTTGTCAGAAGGAATTTAGCTCGGAAAGTGGAGTTAAGTACCACATCAACAACTCTCACTCTGAGGTAAGCTAACATTATTTCACAAAAAGTCTTAAAACAAGTAAATCATTGAAAAGAATTGTTACTTTCATTATTGATGTAACAATTGCCCCTGCTTTTGTTGTATGCTTTTCAAGATATCAGAGTCACCATGACAGGAAAAGGGGTTCAAATGAAAGCGTATGACAGTAAAAACAACAGCACATTTGCTGTTAATCCACAGCATATTCTTGGCATACTGCTAAGAACATCCAACTGTACGAGAGAGAAGGGAAAAACGCTGCCTTAAAGGATAGGGTAATTACCCAAATACACCTTCCACTCGACACTGTGGTTTTGAAGTTGACCAACGAGTTAATTACAGACTAGTGTATACAGAACATTGAGAAGATGAATGTCAAAACAAACCAAAGTACTGTTATATAATTTTTTAAACAATCCTATATAATTTTAGGCAGGAAACCTAACTGGTTCATTTGCTGCAATTGGAGATTTGAAATGTTACATTCTAATTAATGGGACTAGGCAAAATGATTTTTCATGTTAATTGCAATTGACAGGTAAGTACTTTGAAAAGAGCAAATATTTTTAAATATTTTCCATATGTGATAATTCAGCTTGGCAAAGTCTCTGAGTTGTTTGTTTATGGATTGTTTGTACAGTTCTTGCCAATAAATCTCCCATTCTTAAACTAGACTCTGAGGGGTCTTGTGGTGCAGAGGTAGTTTCTGTACCTCTGGGCCAGTGGGCCCAAGCTCAGGACCCATCTACTGTAGGAGTGCTGCATTGTTGAGATTGATTTAAAATTTCTATCTTCTCAGCATATAACCAGGCAAAGTAATAGTGTTCAAGTTCTGCCTGCTCCAGAGATGTATAATACCACATTTGAAAAGGTTGATTTAAAATATCTAAATTAGACTCTGTTGCAGCATCAACATGTGCAATAATAGTGTGGAGGTGTCAATGTGAATTGTGCAGATGTAGAGAGGTACTGAGTAAAGACTAAGCACTTCACATCAAAAAGAAAGGAAAATTGGGGAGAATATTGTGCCTGGGCTGATATTAAATGTTTCCTTTTTCCAAGATCAAAGGAGTATTAGTGAATGTTTGTGAAGGGACTGTTTTCCTTCCTGCTCCTACTTGTAATTAGACTAAGTTGCAGGAAGATGAGGGATGTTGCGAAGAAAGTACAGGAATTTGGATTTTCACAAGTTTACATTATATAAAACAAAAATATGCAATAGAAGTGCACATTCTATGCTAATACTTCATGTTTTATCCTAAAAATAGTGATAAAATTATGCTGTGCAGTTTTCTCAAACCACAAAACTCAATCAACTCTTAAAGATTAAAATGTCCTTTAACAGAACTGGTTTAGGGCCTCTGCAGAAATACCTGCAAGGAACAAAAGGGAGCTGAAGGTTACAAAATCAGAGAGGAAGAAAAGCACAACCGGGAAGAAGAGAGGAAGAAAACCCAAAGAAAGAACTTCAGAGCTTTCTATAAAAGGCAATGAGATGGCGGGAGCAAAGACTGCTGATCAAATAACGTCACAATGTCCTGCAACTTTAAAGAGCAATAGGAAAATGAAAAAGAAAAATATATTACCAAGCAGCAAAAAAGGAGGTTCAGTCTAGATGCTTCAAGCTGCAAAATGTAAGCCAATATAAAGGTAAAGCAGCTGTATTCTGGAGGAGTGTTGCATCAGCCTTTGGGCATCATAAGTGGAAAATGATGGGTTAAGTTAAGATAATACTACCTAACACTGGCTCTAAAGTTTGTTATATTGCCTAATGTTATGGGTCCAAAAACAGACCCAAGAATAAAGCTGTTTATGTGGTAGATAAAAGCCAATCCTTGTAACTGAGTTGAAACTGAAAACATGCTAGACACAATCATTTAGCACAAAGGATTATATGGCTATTTAATATTGCTTTGTTACTATATACTGCTCTATTCAACTTTACTGTTTATGTTTTTTATAAAGTGGATGATTATGGGTATGAGGTGTCAAAAACAATTGCTACGCTTTTTAACCAGAATAAAAAATTATTGGTAGTAAGTTTGTAGTATTGGATTGCACATTGATTAATCAAATTGGTTATTTATTTATATTGTTCAAATTCCTTTGTTATTTAATAGACAAATCTAATAAACAAAATTGCAATCCATATCTGTTAGTTTATATTTATAATTATTTATCAATATAAACTAATGTTTATATATAGAGTCTAGGCTATGTATATATTTCCAAAATAACTATTTCAATCCATATATTATATAGATATATATATATATATATAAATATATAAAATGATTTGGTGCTTAAGACTGCAGGGGTAATTTTATAGGTCTGCGCTGCCGATACATGATGTTTCTACCAATAATTGTGGGTAGCACACATCCAAATTTTCTTGATGGCGATGTGGACTTGTGATATGATCCTTTGTACGTGGCTAACGTAAGTTTCTCCATATTCCTTTCTTCAGTGCATTGTAACATTTGCAGAACGTTTCAACTCATAAATGCAAATTTTTCCAATAATTTGCTGCCCATTTTTGGGAATCTTGGGCAGGTGGGAATGGGGAAATGTGGAAGGGAGCCAGTCTGAGACACAAAAGTTGACTCGCCTCAGAATTTGGACAAATATAAAAATATAAAGGTTAATGATCGAAACACATGATCTGACACTTTTGCTCATTAGGTCAATGCATTGCAGAACAGTGAAGTTAACAATGCAATGCGGGAAATTTAAAAATAAGTAGGGAGGAAAAGTTTATTTCAGCCACTCACCACTGGCTAAACTGCTTGCATTGTTTCTTCTTCTCCCGTATTCATCCTCAAAAGTGCAATCGAGACATTGTTGGAAGACCACCACAAACATGTCAATGGATCTGAATCTGGCAGATCCACCAGGGTCAAAGCACAGGAATTTGGATACCTGCATTGGCTGCAGAGCGGAATATCTAGTCTGTGGTCTAAACTCTGAATTGGCTTTGAACTATTTTTACTGAAATAAAAACAGAAAATACTGATGAAATTCAACACGCCTGACAGCATCTGTGGAAAGTACAACAGAGTTACCATTTCAAGTTCAATACGACTGTTCTTTGGAACTCAGATCTCCAGGATCTGCAGTACTTTGCTTTTATTAGTACTGCTTGGTTTAGGTCTACTTGAAGCAAAAATTAGATATGAGAAATAAGTGTTATGTTTCTTGTGTGTAATCTTGATGACTGCTATCGTTGTAAATTTCCTCTGGATGACTGGATTACTCCATTTGCCACAATACTACAGTGAAATCATATGTTTATCTCATGAATTGGAATGGAAAGCCTTGGCGAAGACAAATGCAAATTTATTGCCAGAGTCAATAGGCCACTTGGAGCACCAGGTAAATTGGTCCTTTATAGGCCAGGCAACACAGTCCTATTTTTATTACATTTCATCTTTATTGGTTTTCTTTATTTGAATTTTGTTGGCAAAGAAATTTGCAAAAACATTTGCTGATGCTGTTGTTTCCTTGTTGATTTAATTCTAAATCGTAAAGCTGTTTAAGATACATGCAAAATAAGGGAGCATAGATGATAATTTTATGACCTGGGGTTTTCTTTGCATTTGTCCCGTGATTTGAGCACAATGAAATTATGGGACTTAAAGGATTGTAGAATTTTGTGCCTAATTGAGTTCCCCTCAAAACTACAATCCGCTTATGAATACCTGTTCTTTCAAGTCATCCATCAAACTTCTAAAATCTGCGTATCCTGTACTTGCAATTGGCCGGGAGTAATGGACACAAGGGTTAATGTGCATCTATCAACATTGTGGCCAGAGTTTCAGGTGAAACAAAAAAAGTCAATTTTCCAATTTTTTTTTAATTACAAGATCTGCTTTCTGTTTCTTCCAATGCATTTTTCGTGGCATAGGCCACATTAAAAAATGTAAATCTTCCCATTGCAGGCACATGTGCCTGATGTGCATAAATCATGTTTATTAAGTTGAATGTTAAATTTTAAGATGCATAAAAGACATATGCTGTTTGGCCTGCTGTGTTCATCCAGCTCTACACCTTGTTATCTCAGATTCTCCAGCATCTGCAGTTCCTACTATCTCTGCTGGTGTGGGTCTGTGTTTTTTCCATGAGACCTTTTATGTTAATGCTGATTCATACTCATTTACACCAATTTTAAGTTTCAGTGTCCTCTAACGAAATTGGGAAGATTTCTAACTTGACATCAGCAAAATAGATGTAACTTCAGGCATTGTTTTTGGTTGCAACTCGCTGTGTGTGCCCAAGAAGGAAACTATAGGCCTATATGTGACCCCCAATTTTTCATGCTACTAGTCTAAGCAGCTTGTAAAGACTAAATGCTATTGGTCATTTTAGTGTTGAAAACAGCTGGGGAAGACGCATGTTGAGTTGGAACTTCTACATGCACTGAAAATAGGAATAAGGCACGCTCTCAGTGCATATGTAAAACTAAATTACTGTTTGAAAAGAATAAAGAAATTTCAAGATCATAATTAAAGAAATTACACAATATTGTCACTGTTTTAAGAAAATATACTTAATGTAGTTTAGCAGCATGAGAAAACATTTGGCTTTCCAATTCACTTGCTACTTCATTAGAACAAAGTTTCTGAACCACACAACATCTTGACTTGTGTTAGGTGGTAATTCTTTGGACATCTTCATGTTTTGAACTCCTCATAACTTGTTGATTCATTAATTGAATTGTTTGTACTATTATGTGATTGATTAAGCATTTTAGAAAAAAACTATTTTACAATTGAAATTATAAACAGCAGCACCTTCAAGTACAACCTTACATTTGTAACAACGTTGTATTGAGAACTGGTCAGTAATTGGAACTAATCAGTGAAAGTGTCAATTTAGAATGATAAATGTGGTTTTATATATGGTGTAAAGCTGGAATATGAATGTATATAATAGGTTTGGGTCATAAACATCCCAGTCCAAAATGGGTACATAGCATATGCACTTTAAACTACATTCTTCTGATTAGATTTATTGATGGATAAAAATGCATACTGCTGCCAAATCAATAGGTTTCCACCTGTATCTACTGTACACTTACTAACATTCTAAGTAATTTGCCAAGAATTTACATAAAAACGTCTGTTTGCTAAAGATGTTATCCTGCGTAATTGTGGCCTGAGAGGCTTCAGTGTAAAATTAAATTGAAATCTCACCTACAAGTTTCAATTAATGCACTTTCTATGAATTAAGGTATTAACCATGTTTGATTTGAAAATAAGATTGAAATAAGGTGAGAAACTAGTGCAGTGCACTGGTCTCCAAAGATTGAAAGCTGGAATTGCTCCTGTGAATTTTCACATGTTGAATTCCTAAACTCAACAATGCAATCGGATTGAGTGAAATTCAGATCTTTCCTTGTTAGGGGAAGGTGAAAAGCCGAGGATTATTTTCATCACAAGGAAAAATCAGCAGATTCTCAAAAGTGATTTGCTCAGAAAAAAGAATCTGCCAGTTTACTTATGGAAAGACACCTACAACTTACTTCTCTGTAGAATTGCCATCATTCAGGGTTTACAAATTTTTGCAGCACTGAAGTGTAAGGCAATGCTTTAACATTGAAATTATTTTTGTTAAAAAAAACCTAAATACATAAACTGAAAATTTATTATACTATGGGTACTTGTGATTATATTATTTTTAGTGTATTAGCTTTTTTTAAAAACACAGCATTCAGAACCCAGCAAACTAATACTTGCTGAGTAACGATAAATTCAGTGCTCAAACAAGAAGAAAAGGGAACTTTAGGAAAGGGGTTTAGCTTCATCACATTAGCTGTCTTATTCATCTGAATTTTTTTTCAGCAGATTCGGCCAAGAGTCATATTAAAAGAAGCATCTGAAGTGCAGAGAAAAAAAAACAAATTTAAATGTCTTAGTGATAGGAATAGAGAATCTTTAAGAAAATTTATACTGTCCTTTCATTCAAACTATATTTACTAACTCCTGCAATCTACCATCAGCCATTAGTAATGGGTGTAATTGTGATATCTCAAATTAATCCTCTTGGCATTTGCAAGCTTCTTAGGTTCTGGGTCTGGCTGAGTGGATCCAGAAATTTTTTTTTTAATTTTGTTGTAATGCGCCTGTCTCATTTTGCTTTATCTCCACTATATCAATTTAGGATATGTACTTTAAAGTCTTTAGTACTTGCCATTCTGACTTACTATAAAGTGGATAAGAGGGCTAGCAATGTTGCTTTTCTCTTATTTTAAATCCCTCTCAGAATGGAAGTACCAGAATTCTGTCCAATAACCTTTAGCAATAAAATAGCTGAATTAAGAAAGTTTAAGTATATTTAACTCTGACATGAGATTATTGGCTGTTTCCCTAGGAGTTAAATTAATCTTTTCTGACTGTCCGCCATTTCTCTCTCTTTCCTTTTTGATTTTATGTCTTTCCTCTCTTTATTTAACTATCTTAATCTTCCTTTTTATCTGTTTCCCATTATTTTCTCTACAGCAGTGAGCAGGAAGAAGCAGCAACATGGAACTCAATGAGTTAAAGGTAGTGGCATCAAAATTTAGGTGTGCAAATTAAAGGCTATGACTTCTTCGGTTCGATGTTAAAGGATGTTGAAATATCTGCTGTGTTTTGCTGATTGTCTTAGAGATTGGATGGACTTATTGATCCTGCTGAAGAAAGTTGCTGAGAGAATGAGTGAACAAGCAAATAGATTGGGAGAGATTGAAGAGGAAGTTAGATAAGTACATGAGGAAGAAGGGAATGGAGAGCTGCAATGGTCTGTTTAACTGCTGAAAGATGAGTAGAGGCTCAAGTGAAGCTTATTAACAGTATAGATTGAGTGGGCTAAATGGCTCACATTGCAAAAGGTTTTATGTGAGCCTTTTTCAAGGTTGTTTTTCAAAGTAAGCTGCTTCTCAGGATCTTTCCTTTTTGTTCCCAGCAAGGAACCACAATTTTTTTTTTATTCATTGATGGGATGAGGATACTGTTGGCATTCACTGCCCATCCCTAATTTCCCAGAGGACCACAAAGAGTCAATATATTGCAGTTGGTCTGAAGTAACATTTAGGTGAGACCAGGTAAGGGTGAAAGATTTCCTTCCCTACAAAGCGTTGGTGAACCAGATGGGTTTTTAAACCAGACTTTTATTGAATTCAAATTTCACCATCTGTCATGAGCCACCAGAACATGGCCTGGATTCTGGATTATTAGTACAAAGTAACATTGACATAATCCCACTGCTCTCCCTGCTCCCCACGTGAATAAACTTGAGCACTATGGATGAAAGGCATTCGGCTGAAGAAGAACGCTTTGCACAATAAGATAGATAGCACTCTCTGATTGGTCCGGTGTTAAGTGGGTTGACCTTTGCCTGTTGCTTTATGCAGAGCTTCTCTTCCTCTTTACTTTGACCTGCAGGATATTGCATTACCAAGGCAACACCCCTTTGGAGCAGATAGAGGGGAAAGGCAATTGTTAAGACTCCCATTGAGACACCAGGGAGCCTGATCCATCACAGCATCTTCAAAAAATTGTTTATTTTCTTCAAACTTGCCATGGAAAAATCTCAGATATCTCTCCCTCAAACCTTCTTTCTCTGCACACAGCAAAGGACCAACCTGATCACCTGGAAAGGATCAGTTTGCTTTGAGAGTGTTTGTCATGGATTCAGATTTTGTTTGTGTTTTTTCGTACTCCACTACTCTGTTGACTCACTTCCTCTACCCATCATGTTCAAATTCAGACCACACTCTGCTTCTAGGATAATCAGTCAACTACTTGTGAAAAAGGATGGGAAACAAGCCATTGAAACAAAAATATATAGAATATCACATTCTCCAGATGAGTGATTGCAAGTAGGTAGCAAGCATTTGAGGTGCAATTTATTTTATAAGCAACATTCTCAGAATCTTTTATTGAACCCTGTTGTAATACTCCCTTTTCCAAGCAAAAGCGCTATTCCCACTTCAGTTACAACATAAATATTGTAGATTCCCAGTACAAATCTACAGGAGGAGCAGAGGGATGCTATTAGGAACAGTGTAGGTGGGTTTGCGAGGGGACATGCCAGCCTAATGCCCTTTTGCTGGGGAGACTGCATCTTTATCTGTCTGATTACTTGCTTGATTGTTTTTACACAGGTGAATGCCTTTCGTGAATTTTGTTCACTTCACTCAAATTAGCAGCTTGATGATCCCGTTCACCTTGACTCACAGGTAGAATTCTGGTGGCAGGCAACAGGTTATGTATTGTTGCTCACCGTCTACAACGGTTGAACCTATATAACATCCCTAGGACAATTAGTGTATGTGAAAGGCATAAAATTCACATTATTGTTATAATGCATATAAAACTTAGAAAAAACCTGTTAAAGCATCAGGTTTTATTACCGTATCATCAACTCCCACTTTACTATCCTAGAGTCAGTCTGAATGTGTTCACCCAAGAACTGTTCAAACTGAGATGTGTATTTTGTATTGTGAATTCATACTCTGATTGAAACAAATCACTTAACTCTAGTTTCTGAGTTAATGATCTGTTCTACCTGCATACTTTCAACTGAAAAGAATGGATCCTCTCCTACCTATAGTTTATATTACTGCTTAATGTTATACAATGCTATACATGCCATCTATGTTTTGAATGAAATTTTGTAAGACATGGTAAATTACTTTTGCCTCCAAATCTATAAGTGATGTATTGCACACAATACATTTAAATATGCTGTTCGAATACGCAAATATATAGGGAAGTCAGAGTTCCACTATGAGGGCACAGATCAAAATCTTAATGTTTGAAGAAAAGATGTTTTATGTTTAAAGATGCTTTGCCGTCAGTTGAAATGGTCA